CACTCATAATTCTTCTATGTTTTTGTCGAGTATTTTGCCAATGCCCAACAGAAAACATTCATGCAATAATTATAGCCGTTAATTGGACGATGATGAAACCTCCCAGATTCAGCCATGACTTTTTGCAGGTTGAAATACCTTCACCCAATGAAAAATATGGCCGTATTATGGGTGACAGTTGGCGTAAATTCGGCCATAATTTTTCACTGTGGTGAAGTGAAGTGTTTCGCTTTCGTGCCATGTGTGACCTCGTGTGTTTTCTTGCTTGCAGACTATACTATAAAGGGACTATGCACAATCCCCTGTAAACTCTTTGAGGCTTACTTCATAGACATTGTTGCGGGTACATATCTGTAGATATTTTATCACAGTTCTTATTCGTAGTTTGCTAGTTTTTAACGCTTGAGGCTTCTGCACCTAAATGACCAGCTTTTCTCCCGTCTACTTGTAAGCGTACTTTATCATTTCAAAAATTTTCTTGAAAATTTTGTGATACTTTTTATAGTTTCGTTTGTGTGGATTTGTGCGTTGGTTATTGAATTTATACAATAGTTTAAAATGTTTTAAGTTTCTATAAATTTTTCTAATTTGATGAAAATGAATTTAATTTTGAAAACGAAATTCTATTTTTATAATAAGTTGATGCCATGTTTCGTTTATCGCTAATTTTCTTGCAAAGTGTGCCTAAATTATTCTATATAATTGTTTATTTTTATCCGTGTTGTTCGTGACTCCACGAGTGTTGTGCTTCGTTCCTCCATGTCCATGTTTTCTCATCCGTGTCTTCGTACGTCAGTACTTCGTTGTTGTCTTCTCTTATTCTACTCTTACATGCGTTTGCTCCTTACAAGCTTTATACGTGGATAGTTTCTTTGCTTGCTCTATTTTCACTTTGTCGGGCCTGTCAGCTGCCGCATCAGCTGAGGCACCGCATATAGGCCTATAGTGATCGTTCTTTAGTACATTGCGTTGTCTAACTGTTGATTCTATAATTAATCACGAATTTGGAAAGGGCACTTGCAGACGTTAAGTTCAATAGCTTTATTCACGAAGTAGGTTAATACAATTAGTCACAAATCGGTTTTAACAGAAGTTCATTTAGGACTATATAGCTTATATTAAATAGTTCGGACACTGGACACGTAAAAGGGCTAGCGTATCAGGAAGCTATAGTAATCTGTGTATTCGGCGCCACGTGTCTCCTCCAACTGACTCTCCGGCTATCCTCTCAACAACCTACAGTTTCCGTTTACTAATTTTACAACACAAAACAAGTCCAGATATTCAAGCTTAATGAAGCATGTGGAAAATGCTTTTTCCAACAACTTTAATCTAAATTCATTTACATTGTCTGTAATATTCATCTATTCGTATGAGTTTAGTTTAGTTTCATATTTTTTAATATATTACCGATGGCAGGATAGTCTTTATACTGTCAGGCGCTACTAACCGGACAATAATGAGAAAATGTGTCACGTAACAGTAAAGTTTGAATTGAACTTTTGAGTCTAGATATTATGGCGGAGCTTTGCCGTCTCAGTAAAAGCAAAAGGAGAGCAATTTAGAACGTCACACTTCAAATTTTTGATTTACGAAATTATACTGATTGCTTGTGAATTCCCTTCGCAAACTTTATTCTCAAGGTAAAATTGCTTCTTAAAGGTGTACGTATCTTTTTTACGCGGAAAGGTCATCCATATGTACACTCAAACGCTTCTAAAATAATTAGTACACCATGAAAAACAGGAAGTTTTTCGCTGCGCTATAAGGTATTCAGATAATATATTTATATTACTCATTTTATCCCGACAAAAAAAGTTAATGGACAATTTGCCGAGCAAAAGAACATGTTTCTCTGTGAAACATGAACGCGTTAGACGGGAAGCTCTTGAAGTCGCCGCCTTCACATGACAGCGCAGGTAAACCGTCCGTAGAGAGGAACATGAATGTCCTGAAAAAAATTATTCCAAAGGAAATGAATGTTAAACCCTTCAACATTTTTATATTATCTGGAAAGAAATAGCAAACGATTTTGTGAATGATGAATATTTTGTTTTATTTGATTCTAAATACAAATATTGAAATAAGAAATATATAGTACCGGAAATCACAACATTCTTGCACATTTCTCGACTCGTCTTTCATTCTCAAAACGTTGTATAATTTTATTTAACATGCTAATAATTTTTCCTCAAACAAAAATTTCTTACATTTTTAGAATTTCTTATTCGTTCCTGTTATTTTCTTAAGTAATTGCTTCATTATCGTTATATTCAAGAGGGATTTAGCTCAATTATTCTACTGAATAACCGACGAATTCAACTGGATAGTTTAGTTATCCAGACAGTTGAAATTGTTTTTATCAGACTATTTCTGCATTTATATATATTTTTCCCGTATTCCATGCGTCATTGCTTCGTTCCAAAAGTGTTTTCTTTCGACACATTCTTTACTCACTACATTCGCTGCACATTTAGGGGAATCTTACGTGAATGATCGAACTAATATTAAGCATGTACGCTTCGTGAAACGTTTTCAAAAATACTAAGTAATCGATGATGTACAGTCTTTCACTTTATCAATATATACTCAATGTTACAGCTAGCAGTTAATGTATTTCTGGCAGCTTTGTATTAGCCTCAAATCTTATTTCTCTCGGTTGCTACCTATATTTATGCTCATCCACGGTTTTGCATGAACGTCAGCTCCTTATATTCATTTTCTGTTGCTCTGCACATCTCTTCTTCGTCTGATTTTCTTCTTCTCTTCATTAAGTTTCGAATAATAGCACATGTCTACGCACATTCTATCACTTAAAATTATTGCTTTAACTCAGAGCATAAATTCTTCCCGAATAATCTCTTCATTTTAATTTAGGTTTCCCCTTACGAAGCAATCCAATAAATTTCGGATTTACGAACATGTTAGCTGATGAATTCGGTACAACGCATTTCCGGGTTTCTTTATATTTTACTGGCTTGTCCCTCCAACTTCGTTTCTAGTATTTTTCCTTCGTTTGCCTATTTCATTTGCAACTTGGAATTTGTATTTAAATTCGCATTTTCCGTTCATACGATAAACACATATTTCTTTTATGCTCTGTTCTAAAATATTTATCGAACGATTCACAGGTCGTAGATATTCTCACAGAAACTTTATCACTGTCTTCGAAATAAATTTCCAAGGATCGAAAGTTTCCTAAATTTAAATTTTATACAAAATTTGATGATCTCTGCAATTTCACGGTTAGTTAATGAATCTCCACGATTTTTAGCATTTTCTACGCAAACCAAGTTAGAACTTTGTTCCATTCCTACAATTTTTGCCACAATTTTATGAAGTGCTTCTTTTTTTCGGGCGCATCAACATACCTGCCCAGTTTCAATTCACTCTGCGTATCAAGGTACCTGCAGCATCAAAGGTCTTCGTCCCGTATATTGGGATAATTTTCTTCAGTTTTCCGTCTATCTGATTGAAATGGTGTTCGTAGAGGTGCATCGTTCGTACGTTGTGGCTCATCTCAGTGAATTGCCGCTCGCTTAGCAATGCTTGCCTTTTAGGATCTCTATCAATGATTATAACATCAGAGCATATAACTTTCTGCATACTTTGATCAACATCTGCACGGGCCAAAAACATCATACATTAGTTACCCATGCATAGCGCATTTCTGTAGATTATTATTATTATAATACTTTTTTCATTTGGTCCTAGCTTGCTGCCTGAGGGAGAATTGCGATTATTGCCCAAATATATTGCATATTTACTGCATATTGCTCGACCTTCTCTCTATCGTATTTGCTTGCTTTCTTTACTTATATATAAGAAGCTTTGATTATAAGGCAATAAAGGCAGATCATGTGCTTTGGTATCCTTCAGTGCGTTGTTACTATCTTTTTTAAAAAATAACTTCACTTGTATCGCTTTATTGTCAATAGTAAACAATTTTGTCCTTTCTTTTTATTTATGGCATAAAATAATCTGTTAATCGTATGCAAGGCTGATGAGAAGCTCGATTCTTATTACTCGATTCAAGAAATAAACAAACATCTTCGTTTGCTTCTTCAAAAGTCTTTTTTTTAGCAGGTGAAAACTCTAGCTCACCAATCGTGAATTCAACAACTTTCATGTATATTAATAGCGTATAATCTAAAATGTGTTTATATTAAATATTTCATGAACTTCACGTGGTGTTACTCAATATTTTTTACGAATATGGATTAAAGCACGTGATTTTGTCTCTATTTGAATATTTGGTAGAATTTTTTTTATAATTTAAGGCATATATATTTTGGTTGGTTATATTAGGGAATCTAAGGCTGTTTTCTCTTATGTGAAATATTACTCTAAAGAATTGTACAGTGTTTCAGTTATATATATACATATATATAATAGCCAGTAATAGATTCATGTCCCACGTATATAAATATGGGAGGGTTTAGATCAAGATGTAGATTAACTCGTGAAATTAGATAAAAATAATCATGCATGCAAGTGCAAAGAAACATTCATATTGAGTAAAAAATTTTAAATCAAATCTCAAATTTAGGTTTCGAGTACATTACGATGCAATAAATCTTGAATGTTCTCATTTTCATTGTTAGTTATTGTAGCCTTATTGCTGACTATAATTGTATAAAATTATTGAATCCCAAATAATTTTGCGACACACATCTCAAGTTAATTTATTCCGTGTGAGAAAATAAGGAATTTAAATTCCATGATCTTGCTAATAAATTCTAAAGTTAACTCAGGGATTTCTATACAAAATTTTCCTTACACTGCTCTACTATAATTACTATTTTAATCTAGAAATAAACTATTTCATACTGCACAAAGATATATACAGCACGATTTTATCCTGCAATAAATATTTCTGCCGTATCATTAGCGTGATGCAATTAAGGAAAATACTTACTTTATCCTACCTAGAATAACCCACAAACCGCAGTTAACTTCCCTTGACGCGATTAAAATGAATGCTATAACTGGATGCACAGCTAACCCTGAGAGCGGCGGGTTCATGACCGGAGGACTGAGCTCCGTGGTGGCCGCAGCAGGCGCTGCTAAGGAGGCTGCCGGCAGTGACACGATGATACAGAGACTACAGAAAGCCATGGAGCTCGAGGAGACCGACAGAGATACGCTGCATTTGCTCGTGTTTCTCTTCATGCAGTTCCTGGCTCAGCCGCAGCACGTGCGTTCTTTGTGCGGCCACTTGATAGTTTAATAGCATTTCCTTACTTAACAACGATATCTTAATAAATACAGCTCGACAGTAGCAAAACAATATCTTAACAAACAGCGTTCTTTGTGCGGCCACTTGATGATAGTTTCATAGCATTTCCTTACTTAACAACGATATCTTAATAAATACAGCTCAACAGTAGCAAAACAATATCTTAACAAACAGCGTTCTTTGTGCGGCCACTTGATGATAGTTTCATAGCATTTCCTTACTTAACAACGATATCTTAGTAAATACAGCTCGACAGTAGCAAAACATTATCTTAACAAAAATATCTAGACTGGTGCTGAGTAACATCTTGATTTTAATTGCTCGTCAGGAGCCAAGTATTATCTCAATTAATATAGCAAATGCTGCATTTGGCTCCAGGCTGGCGGCCTTGAAGAGGAGAAAGGCGGCGTGAAGTCAATTGATGCCGTCCTTCGTCACGTGGCAGGACTCATGGGCTTCAGCACCATCGAGAAAAACTTCTCTTTCAGCCCTGCCAAACTCAGGTAATGGTTCTCTGTCAGCCCTGCCAAACTCAGGTAATGGTTCTCTGTCAGCCCTGCCAAACTCAGGTGTAATGGCTGCAGCATTCCATTCGAACCCTTTTTTACGTCTAATAGTTTTATTACCATTAAAAACTCAGAAGCTTCTCTTTCAACAATGTCGAACTAATCTGAAGTTTCTTCGTACGCAGCCTTAACTTTAAACAATCGAAAGGCACTCTTAACAGCGAAAAATACAATCAAACTTCAGCTGAAACGTATAAATATTATTAATATTTTTCATAACAATAGAGCCTTAAATAATCCCTTGGTTCGTAATCCTCGTTGCAGAGCGTCGCCGGTGTTCAATTCATTCATAGGAAATTTAGCGCACGTTTTGGACCACAATTTCCTGATGGCTAAGAAGATCATCGCTATCATCGTGCCGGTGTTGCAGTTCAGTCCTGCAGTCCACAAGGTTCAGGACTTGCGGCAACCCACGTACAGTCTCTGGATGCTGCAACCAACCATCAGGAAGGCTTGGCTCACATCCACACTCACCATCCTCTATAAGGTGACTTCCTGGTCAAAAAATATTTATAATTAATAGTGTGCATATCGTTAGAAAATATCTGGATATCGCTGTTTGTCATAATTTTAATGTAAATTTTCCCGTAGACGCCGCTCTTTTTGATATTAAACAACGGAAATATTATTGCTTAAAGTGCTAATAGATTGTGTGCCCCATTTTTATTTTCGCAGTATGGAAAATTTGCTTCATGTATTTGTTTAAACTGCATAAACAAAACAATAATAACGCAGTATTTGGGAGAACTTGCTAAATAGTTTTCAAGGCTCGCATAAAATTATGCAAATACCCTAAATTATTGTTTCAATTAAAGAAATCTATCATGCAATGAGCAAAAATTGTGCACGTTTTACGACCCTCGAAATACAGCTCCCGTAGAGCATCATTTTTAGCGCATTTCCTCATTTATGGGAAAAAGGCGCTAGTGTGCTCGTCATGTCCGTCCGTCTGTCCGTCCGTCCGTCCGTCCGTCTGTCTGTGACGTCACGTTTTCGTCGATTTTGAGAGAATGCGCTCTCTGTCACTCACTGCAGTGAGTACTGAGTTGTATTTTTGTGCACCTTGGTCAGTTTGACTGCGACGAGAGCTACCTGAAGGGACAGGTGGTGAGTCTGGTGCTCATCACACTCAACACTCTGGACCGTCACTACCACAGATGTCGTGTGGACCACACCACAGCCGTCACCACCTCTTCAATTCATTACCCTAGAGGTGAGGTACCATCCAGTGGTTGTAAGAGAGGTTATCAGGGTAATATTTCCTCCTTAGCGTATTACCCTAGAGGTGTACTCAGGTAATGGTTCTATTTCAGCCCTGCCAAACTCAGGCAATGGTTCTCAGTTAATCCTGCCAATCGCCGGCATAATGGCTGCATCATTCCATTCGAACTCTTTTTTTTACATTTAATAGTTTTATTACAATTAAAAAACTCAAAAGTTTCTCTTTCAACAATGTCGAACTAAAGGCCGCCTAACTTTTAAAGTCTGAAGTTTCTTCGTACGCAGCCTTAACATTAAACTATCAAAAGTTGCTCTTATCAGTGAAAAATACAATCAAACATCAACTTTAACGTCACGCATAATATGATTTATATTTTTCATAACAATAGAGCATGAAATTATCCATTGGTTCGTAATCCTGCTTGCAGAGCGTCGCCGGTGTTCAATTCATTCATAGGAAATTTAGCGCACGTTTTGGACCACAATTTCCTGATGGCTAAGAAGATCATCGCTATCATCGTGCCGGTGTTGCAGTTCAGTCCTGCAGTCCACAAGGTTCAGGACTTGCGGCAACCCACGTACAGTCTCTGGATGCTGCAACCAACCATCAGGAAGGCTTGGCTCACCTCCACACTCACCATCCTCTATAAGGTGACTTCCTTGTCAAAAATATTAATAATTAATATTGTGCATGTACGAGTAATCCGACGGGGCACAGCTGGTACTGAAACACAATGGGTAACACGGCACGTATACTGACAACACAGAGAGAGCAAGATCTGGATGACTTCGTCTGATACCGATAAAACAGATACTAACGCGACGTGTTGCTATCGTGTGCATGGGCTTGCGTAAGGCACGTTATGGTTCGGACGAGAGTTGTGAACATCAAATCTGCACAGTGCATATCGTTAGGAAATATCTGAAGATCGCTGTTTGTCATAATTTTAATGTAAATTTTCCTGTAAACGCCGCTCTTTTTGATATTAAATAACGGAAATATATATTGCCGAAAGTGCCCATAGATTGCGCTCCTTTTTTTTACAGTGTGGAAAATTTGCTCCGTGTATTTACTTAAAATGCAGAAACAAAATAATAATAACGTAATATTCGGGAAAACTTGCTAAATAGTTTTCAAGCTCGCATAAAATTATGTAAATAACCTAAATTATTGTTTCAATTAAAGAAATCTATCTCGCAACGAGCAAAATTTGTGCATGTCTTACGACCCTCAAAATACAGCTGCCGTATAGCATCATTTTTGTGCACCTTGGTCAGTTTGACTGCGACGAGAGCTACCTGAAGGGACAGGTGGTGAGTCTGGTGCTCATCACACTCAACACTCTGGACCGTCACTACCACAGATGCCGTGTGGACCACGCCACAGCCGTCACCACATCTTCAATTCATTACCCTAGAGGTGAGGTACCATCCAGTGGTTGTAAGAGAGGTTATCAGGGTAATATTTTCTCCTTAGTGTATTACCCTAGAGGAGAGGTACCATCGAGTTGCTAAACAAGCATTTAAAAGTTACCAATATTTCCTGAAGTCAGCCTAAAAACTCAGGAAAACCTCTAATTTTTCTCGCTCGATTCGCCCCAAAATTGGGGATCAGAGACGAGCCTGGGCTCGTTGGGTGGGGACGTGGATACCGTGGATGAGGGGGGAGACCGGAGCCCCACGGCGGGCATTGGTGCCCTAGCTGCCAGGGACGAAACGGTGCGTCTTCCCCCCAGCGAGGGTAGTCGTGGGGACGCTCCTGAGCTCGTCCTCACCCAGGTTTTATCCCCAGAAGAAGGGGAAACTTACGGCCCAGTCGTGGCGACAATCGTCACCGGACAAGACGGCTGGTGAGCAATCATTTTTTCTGAGTTTTTGAACGTTTTTGGCTAATTACATAAATGTACCAAGAATGTGTTATTCATTATTATTGATATTGAATGGAATTATTTTATGCTCCGTGTGATGGAAACATAGTATTTTAAAAGCATATTTATATCGTCCACGTCCACGGCTATAGACGATTTGTAGTTTGCTAACATTAAATTATAATACATGATCGATTATTCTACTACTGTAACTTGTTGTTCAATTTAACCATTGTGATAATTGGAAAACAATGCATGACTTATGGAAGTGATCTTTTAAATTACTTGTTTTGTTATAAGAATCATATCCGACTATTGTTTACAATATATGTATATGATGGACAGTGTATATTCAATGTAGATAATTAGATACTGAGCTCAATCATGCCCACATCGCCAATTATTCTGGTGATTGGGAGGAGTCATTTAATGAAATTAAATATCTTGAGTAAATAAATTAATTTCAGTAGTCATATTTATTAGTCTTTTTTAAGCACCGAAATAAACTTTCATGTTTCCATTATTATAATTTAACATGAATATTTGATCGTTTCCATGGCAGCGCCAAAGTGCAGCTGAACGCCTCTTTCAACGAAGAGGCGCAGGAGGATTCGGCCCCAGAAGTATGGATTTATTGATAAGATTTACGGCTCAAGTGTACTTGTAATCTTGATAAAATTACAATGGAGTATTTTATTAATCAGAATTAAGTAAGAAAATATGCTTGCATATAATACCATTGGTGAAGTTTGGCATACGTTGTTTTTAATGCAGGTTTCATTGAAGACTAGAGAGTATTTCTTATTGACAATTTTCTTATTGTTTTTCTCTATTCGGCGAATTAGGCTCTTGATAGGAATTGAAAACTCAAATATCAGGTTTCCAAGGGACATTTCATTATCATTTACGACGTTTCTAATGGATCTTCATTCATAATCAAGTATGGGAAGAGTTTTGCAGCACTTGAATTTGAAATTTTGAAACGTTTGTACAAACAAAGATATTATGGATACAGATTGAAATCAAAGCATAAATTACGAGAACAGTTTCAACGTCCTGACAAGTCCGGTAGTTTGCAAATTAATAGCTGAAGACTCCTGTTTGATAATGAGAGCCTCAGCTATGGCCAGTCTTGTGGCGTCTGGGCATCTCATGATGATTCTGGTGTGGGTCTCCAACGTCGCGCGAGTAAGGGTCTCATTATGAGCCTCTCTCATGTGGTTCTTCGGTCCTCCGGTCTGGAGGTGGCATGTTAGGCGGCGGCTCAAAGTCGTGCTGGTCAAACCGATGTAATTTACGTTCTGGAGAAGTCTACAACCTTCTTTGTGGCAGGAATATTTGTAAATAACATTAGTTTCTTGTAATGGACCCGGCTATTTGCATGAATTATTTTTTTAATTTTTATATTCTTGAGTTTCATGTTTTTATAGTAAATCAGGAATTTGATTCGGTTTGCTTCGATTGTGCTTCTGATGTTTTTCAGCGCAATTTATTTGAGGACTCTTTCGTCTGTCTTGTGGCCTTCAGTCATCTGGTTTTGGTAATAAATTGTTATAATACTTTTGTTGGATATTGGTTCATTGTCCGTTTGGCTTGGACGTGGTCGATAGTTTGAGATTTCGCTGTCGATAGTTTTATTCGCATAGCCGTTGTTTACCAGAATTTGCTCGCAGGTCTGGAGTTCAGTTCTCAAGTCACTGGCGGATGTACAGGTTTTAAATGCCCCTATGTATTAGGGCGCGAATAGTGCTGGTTTTGTATCGCTGGGGACATTCACTTGCTTCGTTCAGTACTCTTTACACGTCTACAGGTTTTCGGTAAACTTTAGTGACAAACATTGTATCTTCTACTTGCACGTGTATATCGAGGAAGGGCAATGTCTGATTTAGCCAAGATTCGCAGGTGAACGTCAAAAGTGAATTGAGTTCTAAGGCCACGCGTAGCTCAGGCATGGGATCTTCGTCGCGAACAAGGACAAAAATTTCGTCGATAAATAGAATACCATAAATAAATGTCGATGCTTGCTCGAATTACGATTAATTATATATCAAGATGCCGGCCTAAGGTGCGATTAATAAATTGGCTTACTGGCTGAATTGCGATCAATCGACTAAGATACTTTCGCATATATCAATTAATTAATTACGATTAAAACGAATTATTGACGAAGCTGCGAAAACAACAGGACATTTGGTACGACGCCGACTGCCTCAAGACGCTGCCTGACGAAGGTGAGCTGAAAGCCGAGACGTGCAGCACAGAAGACGTGCAGTTTGCGGTTGCCAAAGAAATCTCGGCACCAACGCCCCACGTCAGAGACTCGTCCACGGCGGTCACGTCAGTCATGGCGTCGCAGATACAAGCTTTTGACGACTCCTTTACGGTCAAGTGCGTGCAAATATTACCCTTGAAATTTACCTCACTCACACTTGATCTCAACATCATTTCCATACTTCATAGTCGTCACTAATAATAAAATACACTTAATAATAAAATACCGTTACCATCCCGCGTATAGAGCAACAGATTAACTGTTCATCATCGTGCAAATGGAGTTGCACTGAAGGTTGCACTTATCAATTTCCTCTTCATATCCGCTTTATTGCGTGATATTTCCCTTAAAACACATGCAGCCTATACAAGCAAGAAAGTGACGTCATAAATCAAATCTTACTAGCCAAACTAATCTAATTGACTGCACCATTATTACCTATGTTTAACCTACTTCCTGTTAAGTGATTGAATCATTGTCACGTATGATAATAAACGGCTGACATTCCAGACAAGTGGCACGAGTTGCCTTTAATTGAGAAAGTTTCAAATCACGGAACTAACAAATCTAAAACAAAAAGGGATGAGCATTTTTGTTACTTAAAAAGAGAATAATTTTTAAATTGGCTGGGTGCTAAATAGCTGCAATAATTCACTAAACTTTCATCTTGCGAAGTAACGCAGCCTTAATTGTCATTGGGACCAATTTTAGCAAGACGGCCTCCCTTCTCAATAGCAACCATACTAACGTGCAAACAGTTGATAGGCCAAATTTGATATAAGCACTCCTAGTATTAACACTAAATACTTATTTTATACTTATTAAATTTTAAATATAACAAGTTCTACTTATCAAATACTTATTAAAACTGCAGTTTTATATAGTGTCATTGTATCATTTTTCGACGAGTAAATGTTGGACTTAATTACATAACAGTTTTATAACAGTTAAATCCAGGGCAACCTGGGGGAACCTACTTTATTGCACGTATTTCTACTGGGAGCCTTTTTTTCTAGCAACCAATGCAATCAACTCTCAATTAAGTAGGTTCCCCTAGGTTGCCCTGGATATAACTGTTATAAAACTATTATTTAAACTCCACGGCAGGATTCACAATGCGGAGCTTGCAGACGACGACGACTCTGGCCTGCAGCGGCTGAGCGAACAGGCGCTCCAGGGACTCAGGAGCAGATTCTCTGCGACTGCGCACGACTCGACTCAGGCGTCTACTTCTGCCTCAACCGCAGCCTCACCCGCCTCTTCTTCCAGGTGTTATAGTGTGTTATTTGTTATATTCATGTAATATATACACCGCTGCCTCACCTGCCTCTTCTTCCAGGTGTTATAGCGTGTTATTTGTTGTATGCATGTAATATATACACCGCTGCCTCACCCGCCTCTTCTTCCAGGTGTTATTAGTGTTATGTGTCATATGTATATAATATATACACCGCTGCCTCACCTGCCTCTTCTTCCAGGTGTTATTAGCGTGTTATTTGTCATATGGAATATATAATTAATTTTAAGGACAGATATAAAGTTTTTTCGCATGTTTTAACGTGTGTCAGATGGGAATCCTATGAGTATGTAAAATGTAGCTTTAATAAGAAATTGCTGGTATTAACCTAATTAGCTTTATTCCTAATAACAGGATTTCCAGTTAACGGTATTCTAAAATTTCCGAAATTATCAATCCTCTTAAACTACGAGCTATTCTGCTAGATAAGCAAATCTGTTCCAATTTCTAGAAAATTTTATTTATATCTACTATCCAAATTTTGAATCGTGTTCTTACACAAATCAAAATTCAGTTGATAATAACTCATTAATGGATTATGTAAAAAATATAACTCAGTACTCACTGCAGTGAGTGACAGAGATGGCATTTTCTCGAAATCGACGAAAACGTGAAGTTACGGACAGATGAACGGACGGACGGAAGTACGGACATGACAAGAACAATAGGGCATTTTTCCATAAATGAGAAAATGCGCTATAATGCGTCTTTTAAAAGAAAATAATTTGTTAACAAATGGAAACTAACAACATTCGTGCAGCAACGCGCTGTCTGAAACTCCTGGAGACGGCGACGAGACGATGTCGTCCTTAAAGGAAGCTTTAGGACGACGCGCCCTCGTCCAGACCCACGTCAGTTCATCCACTCCTAAATCCAGTGGCTCGTCACAGCGTTCATCCACGTCATATTGGCTCTCGTCGAGCACGTCGACTGATTCGTCGAGCGATTTTAACATCTCGAGGGCGGCCACAAAACTTGCCTTCGAGATCTGCATTGAGGAAGATCCGGAGGCCTGGGAGGCGTCCGGCGAAAGCAACAATGTAAGCGAGAGGCCTTCAATGAGTTCTTTTGATGTTATCTTATCTTATGCTGTGATTATATTTATTATTTATAATTATTTCAAACATAGGAGGCCTGGGGGGCGTCCGGCGAGAGTAACAATGAAAGCGTGAGGCCTTCAATGAGTTCTTTTTATGTTATCTTGTCTAATGCTGTGATTATATTTATTATTTATAATTATTTCGAACATTTAGTATTATTTCCAACATTTAGTGAGTATCATTCATTTGATATATTTATTGATAAAAAATTTTATTAAAATTTCAGTCTACGTTTTTATACACTAATACGGTGAAATTTTAGATAAGTGGTCAACAAATTAAAGCAATATTTGGCAGTAATAAAATAATCAATAAGTTACTTGATGAGAAACTTGTTGATTACATTATTTAATTCAGCATTGTAAACCGAGAAAAACTGTGAAATAATGAAACTAAACTTGTAATAAGATGCGAGAAAATTCTTTAGCGAATGCTTTCAAATTCAGTCGCTGGATATTTTGTGGAGCATTGCTAAACTACACACAAGAATTGGGGAGAAATTCCATTAACAACTTTCCTGCAATGATTGAGAATATTTCAGTCCTCTTGAAAACTTTGACATAGTGACTGTAGTGATATAATTTAATTTAGTGATTTAACCCCCACGGGGAATGTCTTCGTGCAGAACAGCGTCGACTTCCCCGTCCGACCTGAGCGCTCATCAAAAGAAGGTGAAGCTCGTCTACAGTGCGAGGTCCATTGAAAAATACGTTGTTTAGTTAATATTAATAGTATTAATAAATCTATTCTTACATCTGGAGTAGTTTCAAGTTTGTACTATTATTGCCAAAGGCTATACTATCACTTCAACAAAAATTAATCGTTTTGCATCAACCCATGTCAAGTAGGTGCATTTTTCTCCAGGAGCACTTCAAACGTGTGCGCAACCTTATGATAAGTTATAGCTATTTTGTTAGTGGAAAATGCGTAATTTTCTTGCATGGCGCCATGCGTTGATGACACTCAAGCGGCGATGTTTTGTTGGTGCGCGTATGCAGCAGCGGGCGCGGCGCCCCCCGACTACAGCGAGGAGTCTGGCATCGAGGCGACGACAGTGTGCTCCAGCACCACTGACCTCACCACAGTCATGTATGACGCCACCACTACCTGTTCCGAGCATAATGCGTGGAATTTATTCAATAGGTGCATGAAATGAAATGAAATTACATTCACCAATGTATCCTCTCGAATACAATTTTCTACAGAACTTCGAAAAGAATTTTCTTTCGTGCATTTGCGTGGCCAACTGAATTAAAATGAATATTATGTAGGACTAAAAAAGAGAAAATAAAATACATTAAAAAAACTTAAAAAAAACACGTTTTTCTTGTGGACTAAAAAGTAGAAAATAAATTACCTAAAAAAACTTTTTTAAAAACACGTTTTTCTTGTGGACTAAAAAGTAGAAAATAAATTATGGCTCGCCCCAAAAAACGTGGGTCGGGCAAATTTATGATTAAAGCGAGAAGCACACAACACACGAATTGTGGAAATTTGATGGTGAACGTACAGCCCAACCCACGTTTTTTGGGGCGAGCCATAATTCATTTTCTACTTTTTAGTCCACAAGAAAAACGTGCTTTTTTTAAGTTTTTTCTAAGTATTTTCCTTGCTATTTTCTTTGCTTTTAAATTCTCCCTAATAAAATTTGGCGACCGCCTAGGTTTCTGCACAGAAGAAGTCACTACATTCGGCCTTAAGTTATTCTGGGTTAGCTTGGCCACCCGATCAAAATTGGCTTGTGGTTAGAATTTCCTTTCTGACTTTATTGTCACCTTGGAGTATGAGAAAGGGAGGCCAAGCCTAGTCATACTGAACGTGCAAGCTACGCTTAAAAGTCAGAGCTGAAGCGGACATTAAATGGCTGATATACGTATTTCCTGAGTCCTAGGCGGCACCCATTTAGTCGGGATTGCAAAAAATTATTTAAGAATTTTTGTATGGTAAAGAGGGTGTGATATGCTCTTGGTAGTGGTTGTAGAACCAACATTGTGGAATTTCCGGTAGATTCACTACTCATCAATATTACAAACGTTAAACATTCCTATCGACTGCTAAACTTTGGAGAGCGTTACTTAATCTGCTGGATGAGTATCATGAAATACCTACTTCCTTCAGGTCCCGGCACTGTAGTCCGCCTGGGTATGACTAATTAGTTATTTTCATTCTGGCCCTGCCACTAAATAAGTAAGATAACCACTAATTAATAACTTTCCATCTGGTCCAGCCACTAGGTATTGTCAGGATATCACTAATTACTTAGTTTTATTCAATCTCAGTTACTGAACCTTGACAGGTTACTTCTAAGTAATTACTTTATTTTCAGTGCAGCCACTGAACTTCGACGTGTTACCTCTAATTAATTACTTTATTTCCGGTGCATTCACTGAACTTCGTCGGGTTACCTCTAATTAATTACTTTATTTCCGGTGCAGCCACTGAACTTCGTCGGGTTACCTCTAATTAATTACTTTATTTCCGGTGCAGCCACTGAACTTCGTCAGGTTATCTCTAATTAATTACTTTATTTCCGGTGCAGCCACTGAACTTCGTCAGGTTATCTCTAATTTATTACTTTATTTCCGGTGCAGCCACTGAACTTCGTCAGGTTATCAGCGATGGTCAAAAGCCAGAAAAAAAGTTGTGCGAGACCCCCTCAGTTGAGGAAAAATTGAGAGGACCTCTAAGCCCTCGGCAGACGACAGACCTTCAGGCCGTCAGCCACGGCAAGGCCGTCTTACCGTATTTGGGTAAAGACAAAACCACCGTTGTCAACTACCGAGTTTCTATCGACAAAAGTGATGCCGAAACTGTGCAAAGCGTGTCTTCGGTCATAGGTAAAGAAGTCAACGGTTATATCACGTATTTATCCTGTCAATTTTTAAGTTTAAAAAATTAAATCGAAAAAACTGAAAAATGTGTGCTCATTGGCTGAAGTAACTTTCTATCTCTTATTATCAAATGAGTATTTTTTATCGCTAAGCCTTCAGCATTTCTGAGGTGTGCACATGTAGAGACAAGTAGCAAGCCTTTTCCATTGAATTACTAGCATCTTATCGTACATAGATTCCTTCTATTAATCTTCCATTATTTTAGTTAAATTTGAATATTGCTATTGGGCTAATTTATATGTTTGATAAAAAACCAGACCAGGATAAGAGAATTATTATATTCTATGCAGCGTATATATAAAAAAGACAGGGCATAATTTTCGCGAATATTGCCTAATGAAGTCATTCTTTATTATCACCGTCACAGAGATCGTGAACATCGGCTCTAGTAAGGCTGGTTCATCGGTGTCAGCTACTCAAAAAACGGAGAACATTTTTCCTTCTTCGACACGGTAAGATTTTTGGAATAGTCACAGATTTAGCTTTCTTTTTTAAATAATTTTTGAGTGAATGTTCATTTGCGATATACAATTTTGGTTCTCTGTTTACTCGTCTTCTTTTTTGTTATCTTTATATTCGATGCAAATGTTGTTATGATGTCTTCATTGTACAATTCTATAATTTCGCATTCGAGTTTCAACTTAAAATTTGTACTTTAAAATACATCTTTTCAACCTCATTCGCAATTAAAACTTGCCGGTTTTGCTGGACCATAGCGCGGACAAAACCGTCGATTCCAGCGCAGTTCGTAAAACGAGCGCCGTTGCCGAGATTTTTCTAGAACATTTACATACTCCTCGTTGAATACGACGGTACTATGTTGCCTACATCGATGTTTCAATTAATTGTTCGATTATGAAAAAGGGTGTTCTTTTTGAAACATCTTTGATTTGATTAGCTGATGAAAAATGTTCATCAGCTAATCAAATCATTTTGCGCCGAGCGTAAAACGGCGCAAAAAACGGAGATGGAGATTCTGTGTCGAGCGGACCTCCGCCCTCCGCTACCAAGCAGTCGAGCATGCGAGTGGGCGAGGAGTGTATGGTGCACAGGTGAGTGGGCAGGGAGTGTGTTGTGCACAGGTGAGTGGGCGAGGAGTGTGTGGTGCACAGGTGAGTGGGCGAGGAGTGTGTGGTGGACATGTGAGTGGGCAGGGAGTGTATGGTGCACAGGTGAGTGGGCGAGGAGTGTGTGGTGGACATGTGAGTGGGCAGGGAATGTGTGGTGCACAGGTGTGTGGGCAGAGAGTGTATGGTGCACAGGTGAGTGGGCAGGGAGTGTATGGTGCATAGGTGAGTGGGCGAGGAGTGTATGGTGCACAGGTGAGTGGGCAGGGAGTGTGTGGTGCACAGGTGAGTGGGCTGGGAGTGTGGTGCACAGGTTGGTGGGCTGGGAGTGTGGTGCACAGGTTGGTGGGCTGGGAGTGTGGTGCACAGGTGTGTTGGCATGAACTTGGTGTACCGTTACTAAGGCGTTTTGAGTATGGCAGTTTATATACGTTTATATATTGTTATATATACGTTTATATTTATGGCAGTTTATATGGTATTGAATGTAATATACGGCGGTGGTGAGCAGGTGCCTGGAGTGTGGTGAGGCCATCGAGGAGTTCTCCAACGATGACCTGGGGTTATGCATCATCGTTCTCTCCACCTTCGTGCACCGCAACCCCGCGCTGTCCGCACCCCTACTCCCGCGCATGCTTCATGCCGTCGCCAGGTGCAGCATCCCAGCTCCCATTACGCATCAATATCAATATTAATGAACATTATTTTAAATGTTCTACTATTACTAACCGTATAAATATAACGTTATAATACCATTACATATGTAAGAAGTTGCTTTTCTGTGAACCTTTTGCATGATGGTAATTAAGTAAGACCTGAGGGTTGGTCCGCTTGTAGCGTGAGTTAGAGCTCACGTGATATAGCGTGAGTTAGAGCTTTAACATTGATGTCTTCGGCATCCAGTTGAAATACGGATCTGTCATGGAGTATATACGCGTGGTCGTATTCTGGACAGACGTTAATTTAGGTTACTGTCTTGTTTGACATGGACAGGAGCAGAGGTATACCGACAGCGGTCTTCGCCCAAGACTGAGGTTAATCGCTCGAGACAGAGCTTATATATAGCTTCGCCATTTGACGTCACCAAGAACGTGACTTGATGAACAGGGAAGGCGAACAAAGATATGTTTATAAACATATCGCAATGAAGGAGATTATCTTTCAACAAGGAAGATATCAATGAGGAAGTATCCAGGGACAGTATTAACATTGTCCCTGACACATACCTTGTTTTTGCGGGCAGAGTGTCATCGCACGAGTTGTATTCCTGGCAGAACACTTCAAACGTCCACTTGCCCGGCTCCTCTACCAGCATTGCTGGTCAGTTCCTCCGTTGTGTGCTGCACCAACTCGCACCCAACCAGATATTCTACCAGATTTTCATCACCAAAATCGAGGAGGAAAATCGGCAGAAGCTCTTCCGCGCGCTCGCTAAGGCGCTCGCCGACTTTAACGAATTAAACTCCACGGCGCCAGTGCAGTCACTCTTGTCGGTGAGGGTTTAAGAAAAATCTCTTACGTATAACATTGTTGATGTTGCTCAACAATTATATTTTAACGTCTTGCGGTGTGAGTCCTAAACGACAGTGGAGGCTCATGAGGCACACACGTAGGAAATTATTACATGGTTTTTCACACCAGAACCTAAACGAGTATGACCAATTTTTCATGGTCGTCCATAAAATTTCAAAAAGTTCCTAACTATTCTATCAACTAACATTAAAATACTATGCCAATTTCCGTCAAAAACTGAAATGAACTCAGCAAATTTCTAATTAATTTCTACCCAGAATCTGAACGAGCGCAAAGAGCTGCCGGCTGACACGATCACGCTTGCCGTGAGCAACCTGGCGTGCTACATGGAATGCGCGTTCCAGGAGGCCGCCCCAGCACCCGGCACCTTCCCGTTCAGTCTCTTCGAGACGTTCATACGCAAGCTCATCGACGTCTTCGATATACTCGAGGACGCCAATCCCTTGCTTAGACTCATCTGCGCCTTCTTGCGCATACCTGGCATATCCGTGCACAAGGTGAGACGTGCCTTGCATTGTGACTTACTGATGACTGACATGTTCCGATTCCGATAACGATTACTGAAGAAAATTCAGTGCAGACTAAATTTTCAGTCGATTTTCAGTGCGAACTGTTTGATATCAAGTATATGACAATATTAAATCTTGAAATCCTTACAATTTTATGGGATACTCCTCTTCCATTCAACGATTGCACGTAAACATTCTGTTACGGGAAATTCAGGACCATCACGTAGAATATTGCATTACAGTTTCACAAGTGAGCTTCATTCCCGATTATTCTCTTCTCACGGTACATGGGTTAAAGTCTCCCTCTCGATGCATAATAATCAAAAGAAACTGAATTGAAGATCCATAAAGAACATTATACATTTACTTAATGTGAGGACATTGCTTTAAGTATTCTAAGTTAAGTATTCATTTTCGTCTATCAGTTTATATGCAATTAAAATTACTGTTTAACTCGTCCATTATTACCCACCGATTCGATTGATGCCATTCAGCCACATCGATACCCTTACACTTAATTCCTCAGCGTTGCTTTTGTTCTTCAGAACATCCTTGAACCAGTTTCCTGTGTTCTGCAGAACATCTTTGAACCAGTTTCCTGTGTTCTTCAGAACATCCTTGAACCAGTTTCCAAAGCCGTCGTGTTTGGACTGCGCAAGGCGCCTGTTCAGTATCGCCTCGTAGCAGACCTCGCCATCCTGTGCACCAAGACGTTTCCTAAGGTAATATTTATTTGGAGCTACACCGGCCTCAGACAAGTGAAATATTTCTTTTAAAATATATTATTGAATTCTAAATGTTTCAAAGAGTCGGATCATGCGATATGCTGAATCTATTGTATGAATCATTTCTCTACTGAACGAAGATGTCTGGTGGCACAGATAAAATAATTATAATTGCCCTAGTAAATTTTCTTTAAATATATATATTTAAGTTATTCTGCGACTGAAATAGAATTCCTAAAGTATTTAGCAACTCCAAATATGTTTGTGTGTCGTTTTCTATTATGGCAGAAGCATAATTGATTACCACGATTCAAATTTTGCTGATTGTCAAAATTGAGTTTTTGCCCCCAAATTGAGTATTGAGTACAAACAAAAATTCCAGGATGGACTCTACTCTCGGAAAGTGATGATCCAATCCGGGAGAGGAGATTGGCCTGTGTATAATTTAACAATATGCTTTAATTTATACAATCATCAAAACTAAAATTTTCGATGCAGTTAACATTAGAATATTTTGCGTACAGCTGGAAGAAATATTATGACAATAGATAGATTGAGAGTACTCTAGCAAAAAATATTGTTGAATTTCAATATATCGATCGCGAAATATGAAAAATTATTGTACATGTAAGTACATTTTCATGTTTATTTAACAGGAGCGCGACAAGCTGTTCCTGGCTCGCATGATGGCGCTGGAACTTATCCAAGCGCTGAAATTCAAGGTTACTTTACCTGACATAATTATTCAAGGTTACTTTACCTGACAGCAACTTGGTCATGTTCATCTAACTAATAATGCAGGTTACCCTAAAGGTTAATGAGAGTAAATCTAAAAACGGTCCCAATTGTGCGGACCTATTCTATGAGGTTCTTATGATACGTGTTTCCAGATGCACAAAATTTTCACTTTTTAATGATTTATAATAACGTATTGCATGTGCAGTATCTATTTTAACTCTTTCCATAATACTTTTCTATATGTCCAGACATATTCACAAAGTCTGCTACTGCTAGCTCGTCAACTTAATTCCTTTATTTGTTATGTTATTCAAATTTCGTTTGTATATTTTGGATCACATTCAACTGAATCTAGAGACAGATATTCCAGATACTCTAGCTAAAAGTATTGCACAATTAAAGTGTGTGGTGCAGAGGTGGGTTGACAGGAACTGGGTATACCGTGCACAGGTTACCACATCATATCGATACCTCACGGTGAGAATGATTACTTAAATGAACAATATAGAGAATATTGGCACCAATCTAAGAGCCACATGATAAAATGCCAAAATCTGACGGCCATTAGTGGCGGGCCTTCTTCTTTCAATGACAATGGCGGAAGTATTTGTCCAACCCAATACCTCGCCAAAACCTAACGGTAATTCATGATACGCGTTTCTTTTTTAAATGATAATGATAGGAGTTATTACGGTAATTTCTAAAGGACACTGGCAAGATTATTGGCCTAAACCCAAGTGCTGCATGGTTTCACATATAAACCGGATGGTAATTGTTATTAAATGTTTTCTCCTGAAGGATAATGGCGGAAGTATTGGCCCCAACCCTGTACTGGACGTGACGACAAGCCCCTCGGGCACAGATCCTCTGAGTCCACAAACTTCGACGCTGGTGGCTGAGTGCATCCGCGCCTCCTACATCAGCGACATTATGGACTTCATCGCAGACGTCCACACGCTCACCAAGATAAAGGTCGCCATCATGATCTCAACATCTCGCTATTACTGTTATTATTCATAATTAAGTGCATTTTTAGAAACTGATTCGCCTCTAACCTGATATAAGTTTCTTTCTTTCGTTGTCCATCATGAAATTCGAAGATGGAAGTGAATTAAGATATAACTTTCTGGTCAGTAATATAGTTCATCATTGGAACTGTCGTCGAATGAATATCGATACACGACTCCTATGAATAGAATGTCGCAGTTGAATAACTCCATTTCTACTGTGAACACTCAAAAAAGAAGAGAAGAATAATCACATCACCCAGTTGAATATATGCATAATAAGTGCACATTATGAATTCCTTCCCCGTTCCAAAAATGTATTGTTGATTATTTTATCTATCTAATGTATAATGTTATCTCCCTATGTATGTTATCTCCCTATTGTATAATGTTATCCATATTGTATAATGTTATTTTCCCTAGATATTAGCAATGATTATTTCTTGGCTGAAAAGCAGAGTGGCCTGAACCAGGACACCATAGGCGGGCTCCTGAAGGCAGGCATAGCGCAGTACCTCTCGCTGGAGATCAGCCGTGGCCACGCAAGAGATACGAGGTTCTTCAATAAATATCTTCCGTGGCTGAACAACCCGCCCACTGCCATGCAACAAGGGTGAGTTTTGTCTCAATTAAGTCTAAAATAAGATACGAGGTTCTTCAATATGCATGTAGGTGGCTGAACAACCCGCCGATTTCCCAGAAACAAGAGAGTCTGGTCTCATTTACCTCTAAAATATCTGTCATTTTTGGTTGAAGATCACACCCATTGTCATATATATTGGAGAACCTTGTCTAGTCATCTGAATACATTTACATGTCCAATCGAAATTGAAGAGAAACTACGTCATTCGCCAGGTTACGGCAAGAAAATATAATTTTTCACTTCCAAATATAACGGCTGTGGTAGATTTAAAATAAGCGTATTTGCAAAATTGACAAGACTCGACTTTTTCCAGGCAAAAAGAGTTTCTGGACTGCGTAAGCCACATCAGGCTACTGTCATGGCTGCTGGTTGGGTCACTCCTGCATACCTGCAACCAGACGGGTACTGGTACCAGCATACCATCTGTGTGCATGCCTGTACCACCTGACGCCTCCTGCCACATCGCTGACCACATTCAGGTATCTTACATCTAGAACTTCTAATATAGACTGCATCGTATTTATCTTAATATCAGTTTATTCTTGAATACAGCGCCCTTTTCAATCATGTAGGGTTTTTAATCCAGTAAATATTTTTTTATATACTTGGTTGTTGGATCTTCAGATGTTAGTTTCCTTTAAATAACTGCTCAAGTGAACTAATATGTATTCTTTTTTTTCATTTTCTCGCAATTCAGGATCTCACTTTTTGGTAATATTGTTGTGTTTTCGGCGTTTGTTTTCTACATATATAAGGTACATAACATCATATTTTAACGCCCAGATATTGGCCTCGCTTTGTGTACTAGGTTTGAAGCCGCCGCACTCCTCGACAGACGACTGCGGAGAAAAATGTACTAGCCGAACTGTTCTCGGATGTAGTCTATCTCTATTATAGGGAGCGACTTCATCATACCAATTGTTGTGCCCATGATTGCTGTGTTAACTTTCTACGTTATCTGGACTTCTTAAGTGCAATTGATTTTGCAATTTACAAGTAATTATCGCAAGTTTCTTAAGTGAAGCTTGGCCTGAACATCATCATTGGTTGTTTCAATCGTCCACGAACCGTATCCGCTGGCAGAGACCTTTAAGTGTTCAGACGTAGTAGTTTCCCGCTACAATGTAATCCAAAAAGTTTAGACTTGACCCTCATCTCGTGAACCTCGCATGTCACGCGTGTCAACGCAGTTGAGAAGGAGAACGCGCGGTAGCACAAGATTTGGCAACCGAGAGAGGCAACTCAAGCCCAGTAACCCTAGACATGGACACTCAAAGCCGATACCGGATACACGGACCGGTCCGGTCATCAAGCCGACACCGGACCTATCAATTGCCGCTGATACTCTGATAACCCCCATGAACTGGACCTGTAACCCTGGACATGGACACACCAAGCCGACACCGGACCTATCATGCCTTGGGACCAATTTTAGGAAGACGGCCTCCCTTCTCAATAGCAACCATCCTAACATGCAAGCATCTGATAGGCCAAATTTGATATAAGCACTCCTAGTATCAACACAAAATACTTATTTTATACTTATTAAATTTTAAATATAACAAATTTCACTTATAAAATAATTATTAAAACTGCAATTTCATATAGTGTCATTGTATCATTTTTCGGCGAGTAAATGTTGGACTGAAACTCCACGGCAGGATTCACAATGCGGAGCTTGCAGACGACGACGACTCTGGCCTGCAGCGGCTGAGCGAACAGGCGCTCCAGGGACTCAGGAGCAGATTCTCTGCGACTGCGCACGACTCGACTCAGGCGTCTACTTCTGCCTCAACCGCAGCCTCTCCTGCCTCTTCTTCCAGGTGTTATAGTGTGTTATATGTCATATGCATGTAATATATACACCGCTGCCTCGCCCGCCTCTTCCTCCGTGTATTATTGACGTGCATATTACTAAATATTATATAATATCCCCAAGCTCCGCTTACGTCTCTTTGTCGTCAGCAACTTATCGAGATATTACCTTGACCTGAAATTTTATTCCCAGGCGGAAATAATAGAAATGCATTGCAAAAGTGAAAGGAAGGGATTGATTGAAATTGAAATTAAATTATTTTGAATAAATGATTAATTTGAGGACAGATATAAAGTGTTTTCGCATGTCATAACGTATATCAGATGGGAATCCTATGAGTATGTAAAATGTAGCTTTGATAAGAAATTTCTAGTATTAGCCTAATTAGCTTTAATCCGATTAACAGGATTTCGAGATAACGGTATTCTAAAATTTCCGAAATAATCAATCTTCTTAAACTACGGGCTAACCTGCTAGATAAGCAAATCAGTTCCAATTTCTAGAAAAATATATTTAAATTTACAATCCAAATTTTTGATCATATTCTTACACAAGTCAAAATTAAGTTGATAATAACTCATTAATAGATTATGTAAAAAATATAACTCAGTACTCACTGCATGAGTGACAGAGATGGCATTTTCTCAAAATCGACGAAAACATGAAGTAACGGACAGATGGACGGACGGACGGAAGTACGGACATGACGAGCACAATAGGACATTTTTCCATAAATGAGGAAATGCGCTAAAAAAACGTCTTTTAAAAAAAATAATTTGTTAACAAATGGAAACTAATAACATTCGTGTAGCAACGCGCTGTCCGAAACTCCTGGAGATGGCAACGAGACGATGTCGTCCTTAAAGGAAGCTTTAGGACGACGCGCCCTCGTCCAGACCCACGTCAGTTCATCCACTCCTAAATCCAGTGGCTCGTCACAGCGTTCATCCACGTCATATTGGCTCTCGTCGAGCACGTCGACTGATTCGTCGAGCGATTTTAACATCTCGAGGGCGGCCACAAAACTTGCCTTCGAGATCTGCATTGAGGAAGATCCTGAGGCCTGGGAGGGGTCCGGCGAGAGTAAAAATGTAAGCGAGAGGCCTTCAATGAGTTCTTTTTATGTTATCTTATCTTATGCTGTGATTATTTTTATTATTTCTAATTATTTCGAACATTTTGTATATCCATACATTTGATAAATTAATTGATAAAAAATACTATTAAAATTTCATGTTACGTCTTTTAGACACTAATCCGTTGGAATTTTAGATTTGTGGCCAGTAAATTGAGGCAATATTTGGCAGTAATAAAATAATCAAGAAGTTATTTGATGAGAAACTTGCTTATTAAATTATTTAACTCAGTATAATAAACCGAGAAAAACTGTGAAATAATGAAACTAAACTTGCAATAAGATGCGAGAAAATTATTTAGCGAATGATTTTAAATTTAGTCACTGGAATTTTGTGTGAGAATCGGCCCGACTGGACCATTTTTGTGAAACATTAATAAACTACATACAAGAATCGGGGAGAAATTCCATTAACAACTTTCCAGCAATAATTGAGAATATTTCAGTCCTCTTGATAACTTAGACATAGTGACTGTAACGATATAATTTGGGGATAAATATAAGCTTGAGAGGAAGCAGTTTTGACCCCCACGGGGAATGTCTTCGTGCAGAACAGCGTCGACTTCCCCGTCCGGCATGAGCGCTCGTCAAAAGAAGGTGAAGCTCGTCTACAGTGCGAGGTCCAGTGAAAAATACGTTGCTTAGTTAATATTAATAGTATAATTAAATCTTTCATTCCATCTGGAGTAGTTTAAAAATTGTACTATTATTGCCAAAGTCTATCCTATCTCTCCATATNCCGAAACGTTATCCTTTATAAGAAATGGTGAATTTTCTGGCTATTTTCTTTGATTTTAAATTCTCCCTAACAAAATTTTGGGACCGCCTAGGTTTCTGCACAGAAGAAGTCACTACATTCGGCCTTAAGTTATTCTGGGTCTGCTTGGCCACCCGATCAAAATCGGCTTGTGGTTAGAATTTCCTTTCTGGCTTTATTGTCACCTTGCAGTATGAGAACGGGAGGCCGAGCCGAGTCAAACTGAACGTGCAAGCTACTCTTTGAACTCAGCGCCTAAGCGGACTTCATGTGGCTGATATACGTATTTCCTGAGTCCTAGGCGGCACCCATTGGTCGGGATTGTAACAAATTATTTTAAGAATTTTTGTATGGTAAAGAGGGTGTGATAGGCTTTTGGAAGTGGTTGTAGAAGAAAACCAACATTGTAGAATTTCCCGTAGATTTACTACCCAGCAATATTACAAACGATAAACATTCCTCACGACTGCTAAACTCTGGAGCGCGTTACTTGATCTGCTAGGCGTATTTGGAGTATCATTAAATACCTACTTCCCTTAAGGTCCCGGCACTGTAGTCCATCTGGGTATGGCTAATTATTTATTTTCATTCAGGCCCTGCCACTAAATACGTAAGATAACCACTAATTAATGACTTTCCATCCGGTCCAGCCACTAGGTATTGTCATGATATCACTAATTACTTAGTTTTATTCAATCTCAGTTACTGAACCTCGACAGGTTACTTCTAATTAATTACATTATTTTCACTGCAGCCACTGAACTTCGTCGTGTTACCTCTAATTAATTACTTTATTTCCGGTGCAGTCACTGAACTTCGTCGTGTTACCTCTAATTAATTACTTTAATTTCGGTGCAGCCGCTGAACTTCGTCAGGTTATCAGTGATGGTCAAAAGCCAGAAAGAAAGTTGTGCGAGACTCCCTCAGTTGAGGACAAATCAACAGGACCTCTGAGCCCTCGGCAGACGACAGACCTTCAGGCCGTCAGCCACGGCAAGGCCGTCTTACCGTATTTGGGTAAAGACAAAACCACCGTTGTCAACTACCGAGTTTCTGTCGACAAAAGGGATGCCGAAACTGTGCAGAGCGTGTCTTCGGTTATAGGTAATGAAGTCAACGGTTATATTGCGTATTTATACAGTCAATTTTGAAGTTTAAAAAATTAAATCGAGAAAACTGAAAATGGCTGCAGTAACTTTCTGTCTCTTATTATTAAATGAGTATACTTTTTATCGCTAAGCTCTCAGCAGTTCTCAGATGCTGATGTAGAGACAAATTGCAAACCTTTTCCAATAATTTACCAGCATCTTGTCGTACGTAGATTCCGTCTATTAATCTGTCGTTATTTTAGTTAAATTTAAATATTGCTCTTGGGCTAATTTATATTGCAGTTCAGTCCTGCAGTCCACAAGGTTCAGGACTTGCGGCAACCCACGTACAGTCTCTGGATGCTGCAACCAACCATCAGGAAGGCTTGGCTTACCTCCACACTCACCATCCTCTATAAGGTGACTTCCTTGTCAAAAATATTAATTATTAATAGTGTTCATTTCGTTAGGAAATATCTGAATATCGTTATTTGTCATATTTTTAATAATAATTTTCCCGTAGACGCCACTCTTTTTGATATTAAACAACGGAAATATTATTGCCAAAAGTGCTAATAGATTGTGTGCCCCTTTCTTATTTTCGCAGTATGGAAAATTTGTTCCATGTATTCGTTTAAACTGCAGAAACAAAATAATAATAACGTAATATTAAGGAGAACTTGCAAAAGAGTTTTCAAGGCTTGCATAAAATTATGTAAGTACACTAATTTATTATTGTTTCAATTAAAAAATAAATCACGCAACGAGCAAAAATTGTGCTCGTTTCATGTCCCTCGAAATAAAGCTGCCGTATAGCATCATTTTTGTGCACCTTGGCCAGTTTGACTGCGACGAGAGCTACCTGAAGGGGCAGGTGGTGAGTCTGGTGCTCATCACACTCAACACTCTGGACCGCCACTACCACAGATGCCGTGTGGACCACACCACAGCCGTCACCACATCTTCAATTCATTACCCTAGAGGTGAGGTACCATCCAGTGATTGTAATAGTGGTTATCAGGGTAATATTACCCTAGAGGTGAGGTACCATCCAGCGGTTGTAATAGTGGTTATCAGGGTAATATTTCCTCCTTAGTGTATTACCCTAGAGGAGAGGTACCATCGAGTTGCTGAACAAGCATTCAAAATTTACCAATATTTCCTGATGTCAGCCTAAAATTCAGGAAAACCTCTAATTTTTTTCGCTCGATTCGCCCCAAAATTGGGGATCAGAGACGAGCCTGGGCTCGTTGGGTGGGGACGTGGATACCGTGGATGAGGGGGGAGACAGGAGCCCCACGGCGGGCATTGGTGCCCCAGCTGCCGGGGACGAAACAACGCCTCTTCCCCCCAGCGAGGGTAGTCGTGGGGACGCTCCTGAGCTCGTCCTCACCCAGGTTTTATCCCCAGAAGAAGGGGAAACTTACGCCCCAGTCGTGGCGACAATCGTCACCGGACAAGACGGCTGGTGAGCAATCATTTTTTTTCAGAGTTCTTGAAAGTCATATAAATATAAATATAACATAAATATTACATTAATACACCAGGAATGTGTTATTCATTATTATTGTTATTGAATAAAATTATTCTTTGCTCCGTGTAATGGAAACATAGTATTTTAAAAGCATATTTATATCGTCCACGTCCACGGCTATAGATGATTTGTAGTCAGCTAACATTTAATTATAATACATGATCGATTATTCTACTTCTGTAACTCGTTGTTCAATTTAACCATTGTGATAATTGAAAAACAATACATGACTTATGAAAGTGATATTTTAAATTACTTGTTTTGTTATAAGAACCTTATTCGATTATTGTTTACAATATATGTATATGATAATATATATTTTCAATGTAGATAATTAGATACTGAGCTCAATCCTGTCTACATTGCCAATTATTCTGGTGACCGGGAGGAGTCATTTAATGAATAAAATATCTTGAGTAAATAAATCAATTTCAGTAGTCATATTTATTAGTCTCTTTTAAGCACCAAAATGAACTTTCATGCTTCCATTATTATAATTTAACATGAATATTTGATCGTTTCTATGGCAGCGCAAAAGTGCAGCTGAACGCCTCTTTCAGCGAAGAGGCGCAGGAGGATTCGGCCCCAGAAGTACGGATTTATTGCTAAGATTTACGGCTCAAGTGTACTTGTAATCTTGATAAAATTACAATGAAGTATTTTATTAATCAGGATTAAGTAGAAAATACGCTTGCATATAATACCATTGGTGTACTTTGGCAAAAGTTGTTCTTTAATGCAGGTTTCATTGAAGACCAGAGAGTATTTCTTATTGACGATTTTCTTATTGTTTTTCTCTATTTGGCGAATTAGGCTTTTGATAGGAATTGAAAATTCAAAAACAGCCAACTGGCCCAGTGTAAAATAACTGACCCAGTGGTGACAGTTCAGAGTTTGAAAATTTAAATATCAGGTTTCCAAGCGACATTTTATTGTAATTAACGACGTTTCGGATGAAACTTCATTCGTAATCAAATAAGGAAAGAGTTTTGCAACACTTGAAATTAAAATTTTGAAATGACATTAGTACAAACAAAGGGTATTATGGACACAGATTGAAATCATAGCTTAAATTACGAGAACAGTTTCAACGTCCTGACAAATCCGGTAGTTTGCAAATTAATAGCTGGAGACTCCTGCTTGATGATGAGAGCCTCAGCTATGGCCAGTCTTGTGGCGTCTGGGCATCTCATGATGATTCTGGTGTGGGTCTCCAACGTCGCGCGAGTGAGGGTCTCATTATGAGCCTCTCTCATGTGGTTCTTCGGTCCTCTGGTCTGAAGGTGGCATGTTAGGCGGCGGCTCAAAGTCGTGCTGGTCAAGCCAATGAAATTCACGTTCTGGGAAGTCTACTACCTTTTTTGTGGCAGGAATATTTGTAAATAACATTACTTTCTTGTAATGGACCCGACTTTGTGCATGAATTATTTTTCATTATTAAATTCTTGAGTTTAATGTTTTTATAATAAATCAGGAGTTTGATTCGGTCGGCTTCGGTTGCGCTTCAAATGTTATTCAGCAAAATTTATTTGAGGACTCTTTCGTCTGTTTTGTGGCCTTCAGTCATCTGTTTTTGGTAAGAAATTGTTAGAATACTTTTGTTGAATATTTGGTTCATTGTCCGTTTGGTTTGACGTGGTCGATAGTTTGAGATTTCGCTGTCGATAGTTTTAGTCGCATAAACGTTGTTTACCAGAATTTGCTTGCAGGTCTGGAGTTCAGTTCTCAAGTTACTGGCCGATGTACAGGTTTTAAATGCCCCTAAGTATTAGGGCGCGAAAAGTGATGGTTTTGTATCGCTGGGGACATTCGCTTGCTTCGTTCAGAACTCTTCCGACGTCTGAAGGTTGTCGGTAAACTTTAGCGACGAACATTGCATCTTCTACTTGCACGAGTATATCGAGGAAGGGCGAAGACTGATTTAGCCCAAATTCGCAGGTGAACGTCAAAACTGAATTGAGTTCTAAGGCCACGTGTAGCTTAGGAATTTGATCTTAGTCGCGAAAAAAGACAAAAATGTCGACCTTGAATAGAATACCAAAAATAAAGGATGATGCTTGCTTGAATAATGATTAATTATCAACATACGGGCCTAAGGCACAATTAATTAATGGCATTACTAGCTGAACTGCGATCAATCAACTACGATACTTTCGCAAATATCAATTAATTAATTACGCTTAAAACGAATTATTGACGAAGCTACGAAAACAACAGGACATTTGGTACGACGCCGACTGCCTCAAGACGCTGCCTGACGAAGGTGAGCTGAAAGCCGAGACGTGCAGCACAGAAGACGTGCAGTTTGCGGTTGCCAAAGAAATCTCGGCACCAACGCCCCACGTCAGAGACTCGTCCACGGCGGTCACGTCAGTCATGGCGTCGCAGATACAAGCTTTTGACGACTCCTTTACGGTCAAGTGCGTGCAAATATTACCCTTGAAATTTACCTCACTCACACTTGATCTCAACATCATTTCCATACTTCATCGTCATCACTAATAATAAAATATACTTGATAATAAAATACCGTTACCATCCCACGTATAGAGCAACAGATTAACTGTTCATCATCGTGGAGTTGCACTGAAGGTTGCACTTATCAATTTCCTCTTCATATCCTCTTTATTGCGTGATATTTCCCTTAAAACACATGCAACCTGTACAAGTAAGAAAGTGACGTCATAAATTAAATCTTATTAGCGAAACTAATCTAATTGACTGCACCATTATTACCTATGTTTAACCTACTTCATGTAAAGCGATTGAATCATTGTCAAGTATGATAATAAACGGCTGACATTCCAGCCAAGTGGCACGAGTTGCCTTTCATTGGGAATGTTTCATGTCACGGAACTAACATATATGAAATAAAAATGCACGAACATTTTTGTTATTTAAGAAGAGAATAAGTTTTAAATTGCTTGGTGCTAATAGCGGCAATAATTCATACAAATTTCATCTTGCGAAGTAACGCAACCTTGGGACTAATTTCACGAAAACGGCCTCCCTTCTCAATAGCAATCATACTAACGTGCAAACAGTTGATAGGCCAAATTTGATATAAGCATTCCTAGTATTAACACCAAATAATTATTTTATACTTATTAAATTTTAAATATAACAAATTTCACTTATCAAATAATTATTAAAACTGCAATTTTATATAGTGTCATTGCATCATTTTTCGGCGAGAAAATGTTGGACTGAAACTCCACGGCAGGATTCACAATGCGGAGCTTGCAGACGACGACGACTCTGGCCTGCAGCGGCTGAGCGAACAGGCGCTCCAGGGACTCAGGAGAGAAACTCCTGGAGACGGCGACGAGACGATGTCGTCCTTAAAGGAAGCTTTAGGACGACGCGCCCTCGTCCAGACCCACGTCAGTTCATCCACTCCTAAATCCAGTGGCTCGTCACAGCGTTCATCCACGTCATATTGGCTCTCGTCGAGCACGTCGACTGATTCGTCGAGCGATTTTAACATCTCGAGGGCGGCCACAAAACTTGCCTTCGAGATCTGCATTGAGGAAGACTCGGAGGCCTGGGAGGCGTCCGGCGAGAGCAACAATGTAAGCGAGAGGTCGTCAATGAGTTCTTTTTATGTTATCTTATCTTATGCTGTGATTAAATTTATTATATATAATTATTTCGAACATATGATGCCTGGGAGGCGACGGGCGAGAGCAACAATGTAAGCGTGAGGCCTTCAATGAGTTCTTTTGATGTTATCTTATCTTATGCTGTGATTATTTTTATTATTTCTAATTATTTCGAACATTTTGTATATCCATACATTTGATAAATTAATTGATAAAAAATACTATTAAAATTTCATGTTACGTCTTATAGACACTAATCCGTTGGAATTTTAGATTTGTGGCCAGTAAATTGAGGCAATATTTGGCAGTAATAAAATAATCAAGAAGTTATTTGATGAGAAACTTGCTTATTAAATTATTTAACTCAGTATAATAAACCGAGAAAAACTGTGAAATAATGAAACTAAACTTGCAATAAGATGCGAGAAAATTCTTTAGCGAATGATTTTAAATTTAGTCACTGGAATTTTGTGTGAGAATCGGCCCGACTGGACCATTTTTGTGAAGCCTTAATAAACTACATACAAGAATCGGGGAGAAATTCCATTAACAACTTTCCTGCAATAATTGAGAAGATCTCAGTCCTCTTGAAAACTTTGACATATTGACTGTAACGATATAATTTGGGTATAAATATAAGCTTGAGAGGAGGCAGTTTTGACCCCCACGGGGAATGTCTTCGTGCAGAACAGCGTCGACTTCCCCGTCCGACCTGAGCGCTCGTCAAAAGAAGGTGAAGCTCGTCTACAGTGCGATGTCCATTGAAAAATACGTTGCTTAGTTAATATTAATAGCATAATTAAATCTTTTCTTCCATCTGGAGTAGTTTAAAAATTGTATTATTATTGCCAAAGTTTATCCTATATTTTCAACAAAAATTAATCGTTTTGCATCAACCCATGTCAAGTAGGTGCATTTTTCTCCTCGAGCACTTCAAACGTGTGTGCAACCTTATGATAAGTTATAGCTATTTTGGTAGTGGAAAATGCGCCATTTTCTTGCATGGCGCCATTTTCTTGCATGGCGCCATTTTCTTGCATGGCGCCATGCGTTGATGATACTCAAGCGGCGATGTTTTGTTGGTGCGCGTATGCAGCAGCGGGCGCGGCGCCCCCCGACTACAGCGAGGAGTCTGGCATCGAGGCGACGACAGTGTGCTCCAGCACCACTGACCTCACCACAGTCATGTATGACGCCACCACTACCTGTTCCGTGCACCACACTCATCACCACACTCATCTTACTCATACCCCGCATCCTCAAGCCAACAAAGGAGGATTTGTTGTGGCGGGCGTTGGCTACGGTGGCGCGGAGCAGGGCGTTATTGCTGAGTCTGGACTGCGCATGGCAACTGCTAGTGAAGTGAGGGCCTTAGGGTGGGCAGGGGATGAAGGGTGTGGGGGCTAGAATTAAAGGAAACTGTTCGCAAAGAAAAATTCGTTATTTTAGTGATTGTTATATGAAGTTGAAAAAAAGATGCTACAAACTCAAATGTTCAGTTTTGATGCCTTGCGAACTGATATTTGTGCACCCTCTTATAACTCGCTTCAGAACCATAATCAATATCTGCTTTATTCAGGTCCAAGTAAAAATGGCTGACGCATCAGAAGTAAGCATTTCTGGTCCCCCACCCACCTCCCCCACTGCGTTGCTCCCCCCAGGAGCATCCATTTGCTCCCCTCCATCCCCTCTCTCCATGATGGATCTCATCACTGTTGGTGAGAGACACAAGGAAATAAAGATATTCAATGGTTGTAGTTTGATCTATACTCTTGAAATAACGTGTTCTATTATACAAGCTGGAAAGGCCTTAACAAATGAGCAATCAATTATTGTATCAATATTTCCCATCTTATCTAACCTATGATAAAATAATGTTACATTACAACCGCATTGCCAGGTTCACCGGTTGCCATTGACTGCAGCCCGAGTTCGACGTCAGTGGATTTGCCGTCGCCGAGACTAGAAATGCCGACGCCAGAGCGGCTGCTGGACGCCGGTGAGGCTGGCGCCGAGAAGCAGCACTCGATCATCGAGCGCGTCTGGCAGGCTTTCGGCGGCTGGACAGCGGGCAACACCGAAGCTAACAATGGTACGACAACTGAGACAGCTGAGTGGAATGGAACTTGCAATGACAATGACGTAAAAAGTGTTGTAAAGCAATAAATGCTGTGAAATTATAAGGTCTAGACGTAGAAAAAAACAAAATAACAATATTAAAAATCCCTAACAAAAGTATTAAGATCACTTGACTGCTTAAATCGCAAGTTTATCAAGAATTTAAAAGCAAAGAAAATAGCCCGAAATTTCACCATTTCGTATAAAGGAAAACGGAATTGGACGATATGCATCAATGTGAATTTATTTGTCAATTGTTTGTACCTGTGTTTCAAGTTTTTAACTGACAATAGAGCTAGACTCCGAAACTTTTCCCTTGATAATAAATGGTGAATTTTCTGGCTATTTTCTTTATTTTTAAATTCTCCCTAACAAAATTCGGGGACCGCCTAGTTTTTGCACGGACTAAGTCACTACATTCGGCCTCAAGTTATTCTGGTTCAGCTTGGCCACCCGATCAAAATCGGCTTGTGGTTTGAATTTCCTTTCTGGCTTTATAGTCACCTTGCAGTATGAGAACGGGAGTCCAAGCCGAGTCACACTGAACGGGCAAGCTACCCTTTGAACTCGGAGCAGAAGCGGACTTCAAGTGGCTGATATACGTATTCCCTGAGTCCTAGGCGGCACCCATTTAGTCAGGATTGCAACAAATTATTTTAAGAATTTTTGGATGGTAAAGAGGGTGTGATAGGCTTTTGGAAGTGGTTGGAAGCGGTTGGAGAAGAAAACCAACACTGTGGAATTTCCCGTATATTCTCTTCTCATCAATATTACAAACATTAAACATTCTTAAACGACTGCTAAACTTTGGCGCGGGATACTTAATCTGCTGGATGAGTATCATTGAATACTTACTTCCCTTCAGGTCCCGGCACTGTAGTCCATCTGGTTATGACTAATTATTCATATTCATTCAGGCCCTGCCACTAAATTCGTCGGATAACCACTAATTAATAACTTTCCATCTGGCCCAGCCACTGGGCATTGTCAGGATGTCACTAATTACTTAGTTTTATTCAATCTCAGTTACTGAACTTCTAATTAATTACTTCATTTTCGGTGCAGCCACTGAACTTCATGAGGTTACCTCTAATTAATTACTTTATTTTGGGTGCAGCCACTGAACTTCGTCAGGTACGTTACCTCTAATTAATTACTTTATTTTCGGTGCAGCCACTGAACTTCGTCAGGTTACCTCTAACTAATCACTCTATTTTCGGTGCAGCCACTGAACTTCGTCAGGTTACCTCTAACTGATGTTATCTTATCTTATGCTGTGATTATATTTATTATTTATAATTATTTCGAACATAGGAGGCCTGGGAGGCGTCCGGCGAGAGCAACAATGTAAGCGAGAGGCCGTCATTGAGTTCTTTTGATGTTATATCATCTTATGCTGTGATTATTTTTATTATTTATAATTATTTCGAACATTTAGTATATCCATTCATTTGATAAATTAGTTGATAAAAATACCATCCAAATTTCAGTCTACGTCTTTTAGATACTAATCCGGTGAAACTTTAGATAAGTGATAAGAATATTGAGGTAATATTTGGCAGTAATAAAATAATCAAGGAGTTATTTGATGAGAAACTTGCTAATTAAATTATTTAATTCAGTATAATAAACCGAGGAAACCTGTGAAAAATGAAACTAAACTTGTAATAAGATGCGAGAGAATTCTTTAGCGAATAATTTTATATTCAGTCACTGTATATTTTGTATGAGATTCGGCCCGACTGGACCATTTTTGTGAAGCATTAAAAAACTACATACAAGAATGGGGGAAAAATTTCAATAACTTTCCTGCAATGATTGAGAAGATTTCAGTCCTCTTGAAAACTTTGACATATTGACTGTAACGATATAATTTGGGTATAAATATAAGCTTGAGAGGAGGCAGTTTTGACCCCCACGGGGAATGTCTTCGTGCAGAACAGCGCCGACTTCCCCGTCCGGCCTGAGCGCTCGTCAAAAGAAGGTGAAGCTCGTCTACAGTGCGAGGTCCATTGAAAAATACGTTGCTTAGTTAATATTAATAGTATTAATAAATCTATTTTTCCATCTGGAGTAGTTTAAAAATTGTATTATTATTGCCAAAATCTACCTATCCTATCTTTCCGTATCAACTAGGTGCATTTTTCTCCTCGAGCACTTCAAACGTGTGCGCAACCTTTTGATAAGTTATTGCTATTTTGGTAGTGGAAAATGCGTAATATTCTTGCATGGCGCCATGCGTTAGTGGAAAATGCGTAATTTTCTTGCATGGCGCCATTTTCTTGCATGGTGCCATGCGTTGATGACACTCAAGCGGCGATGTTTTGTTGGTGCGCGTCTGCAGCAGCGGGCGCGGCGCCCCCCGACTACAGCGAGGAGTCTGGCATCGAGGCGACGACAGTGTGCTCCAGCACCACTGACCTCACCACAGTCATGTATGACGCCACCACTACCTGTTCCGAGCACCACACTCATCACCACACTCATCTTACTCATACCCCGCATCCTCAAGCCAACAAAGGAGGATTTGTTGTGGCGGGCGTTGGCTACGGTGGCGCGGAGCAGGGCGTTATTGCTGAGTCTGGACTGCGCATGGCAACTGCTAGTGAAGTGAGGGCCTTAGGGTGGGCAGGGAATAAAGGGTGTGGGGGTTAGAACTAAAGGAAACTGTTATCAAAGAAAAACTTGTTCTTCTAGTGATTGTTATATGAAGTTGAAAACAGTTACTACCAACTCAAATGTTCAGTTTTGTTGTCTTGCGTACTGATATTTGTGCACCCTCTTATAACTCAGTTCCAGAACCATAATCAATATCTGCTTTATTCAGCTCCAGGTAAAAATGGCTGACGCAGCAGAAGTAAGCATTTCTGGTCCCCCACCCACCTCCCCCACTGCGCTGATCCCCCCAGGAGCATCCATTTGCTCCCCTCCATCCCCTCTCTCCATGATGGATCTCATCACTGTTGGTGAGCGACACAAGGAAATATAGATACTCAATGGTTGTAGTTTGATCTCTGCTCTTGAAATAACGTGTTCTGTTATACAAGCTGGACAAGCCTTAACCAAAAAGCAATCAATTATTTCTATCAATATTGCCCATCTTGGCAAACCTATGATAAAATAATGCTGCATTACAACCGCATTGCCAGGTTCACCGGTTGCCATTGACTGCAGCCCGAGTTCGACGTCCGTGGATTTGCCGTCGCCGAGACTAGAAATGCCGACGCCAGAGCGGCTGCTGGACGCCGGTGAGGCTGGCACCGAGAAGCAGCACTCGATCATCGAGCGCGTCTGGCAGGCGTTCGGCGGCTGGACAGCAGGCAACAGCGAAGCTAACAATGGTACGACAGGTGAGTGAAATAGAACTTGCAATGACGCCAATGACGTAAAAAGTGTTATTAAGCAACAAATGCTGAGTAATTAAGGTCTAAACGTAGAAGAAACAAAATAACAGCATTAAAAATCCCTAACGAAAATATTACGATCACTTGATCGTAATCACTTAAATCGCAAGTTTATCAAGAATTTAAAAGCAAAGAAAATAGCCAAAAAATTCACCATTTATTATAAAGGAAAAAGTCATTTGACGATTTGTGCTATAATGTGAATGTATTTGCTTATTGTTTGTACCTGTGTTTCAGGTTTTGAACTGACGATGTAGCTAGACTCCGAAACGTTTCCTTTATTACCACGTTTTTCATAGCTCGCTTTCGTGTCCGTCTGTGATGATCAAATCTTGCAATCGATATTTCACCAACTTTCCCGCTAGCTAGCGCTCTGAAACTTTTAGGGAAGCTCAGCTCCCGATGACAATACAATAATCAATAATTTGTTGCACGTTTCCAGGCGTATTTATTCAATGAAATGCGTGGAATTTATTCAATAGGTGCATGAAATGAAATGAAATTACATTCACCAATGTATCCTCTCGAATACAATTTTCTACAGAACTTCGAAAAGAATTTTCTTTCGTGCATTTGCGTGGCCAACTGAATTAAAATGAATATTATGTAGGACTAAAAAAGAGAAAATAAAATACATTAAAAAAACTTAAAAAAAACACGTTTTTCTTGTGGACTAAAAAGTAGAAAATAAATTATGGCTCGCCCCAAAAAACGTGGGTCGGGCAAATTTATGATTAAAGCGAGAAGCACACAACACACGAATTTTGGAAATTTGATGGTGAACGTACCCACGTTTTTTGCGGCGAGCCATAATTCATTTTCTACTTTTTAGTCCACAAGAAAAATGTGCTTTTTAAAAAGTTTTTTTAAGTATTTTATAAGAAATGGTGAATTTCCTTGCTATTTTCTTTGCTTTGCTTTTAAATTCTCCCTAATAAAATTTGGCGACCGCCTAGGTTTCTGCACAGAAGAAGTCACTACATTCGGCCTTAAGTTATTCCGGGTTAGCTTGGCCACCCGATCAAAATTGGCTTGTGGTTAGAATTTCCTTTCTGACTTTATGGTCACCTTGGAGTATGAGAAAGGGAGGCCAAGCCTAGTCATACTGAACGTGCAAGCTACGCTTAAAAGTCAGAGCTGAAGCGGACATTAAATGGCGTATNCGAACAAAAATTCCAGGATGGACTCTACTCTCGGAAATTGATGATCCAATCCGGGAGAGGAGATTGGCCTGTGTATAATTGAACAATATGCTTTAATTTATACAATCATCAAAACTGAAATTTTCGATGTAGTTAACATTAGAATATTTTGCGTACAGCTGGAAGAAATATTGTGAAAATAGATAGAACGTATATATACTCTTGGAAAAATATTGTTAAATTTCAGTATATCGATCGCAAAATATAAAAAATTATCATGAATGTAAGTACATTTTGAGGTTTATTTAACAGGAGCGCGACAAGCTGTTCCTGGCTCGCATGATGGCGCTGGAACTTATCCAAGCGCTGAAATTCAAGGTTACTTTACCTGACAGCAACTTGGTCATGTTCATGTTTTTAATGCTGAAGGTGATCCTAAAGGTTAATGAAGATAAATCTAAAAACGATTCCAATCGTGCGGACCTTCACTGTAAGGTTCTTATGACACGTGTTTCTGGTTGCACTAAATTTTCACTCTTTTATGAGTTATAATAACGTATTACATGTGCAGTATCTTTGTTAACTCTTTCAATAATACTTTTCTAAATGTCCAGACATATCCACGAAGTCTGCTAGCTCGTCAACTTAATTCCTTTATTTGTTATTTTATTCATATTTCTTTGAATACTTTGGAGCATACCCAACTGTTAGACTATTATCTTCTCTATGCTCTCTTTAAGATTGGATATCCGAACTTTACATTTTAAAACTTTCTTAAGTAATACCTGAATCTATCGACACAAATTCCAGATATTCTAATGTATGGCACAATTGAAGTGTGTGGTGCAAAGGTGGGTTGACAGGAACTGGATGTACCGTGCACAGGTTACCACATCATATCGATACCTCACGGTGAGAATGATTACCTAAATGAACAATATAGAGAATATTGTCACCAATCTAAGAGCCGCATGATACAATACCAAAATCTGACGGCCATTAGTGGTGCGCTTTCTTTTTTCAATGACAATAGCGGAATTATTTGTCCAACCCAAATACCTCATGATGCCACGCCAAAACCTAACGGTAATTCATGATACGCGTTTATTTTTAAATCACAATGATGGCAGTAATTACGGTAATTCTCAAAGGACAATGACGGAAGTATTGGCCCCAACCCAAGTGCTGCATGGTTTCACTTGATGGTAATTGTTAATAAATGTTTCTCCTGAAGGATAATGGCGGAAGTATTGGCCCCAACCCAAGTGCTGCATGGTTTCACTTGATGGTAATTGTTAATAAATTTTTTTTCTGAAGGATAATGGCGGAAGTATTGGCCCCAACCCTGTACTGGACGTGACGACAAGCCCCTCGGGCACAGATCCTCTGAGTCCACAAACTTCGACGCTGGTGGCTGAGTGCATCCGCGCCTCCTACATCAGCGACATTATGGACTTCATCGCAGACGTCCACACGCTCACCAAGATAAAGGTCGCCATCATGATCTCTACATGTCTCTATTACTGTTATTACTTTTAATTATGTGCATTTTTAGTCACTGTTTTGCCTCTTACCTGATATAAATTTATTTCTTTCGTTGTTCATCATGAAATTCAAAGAGAGAAGTCAATTAAAATATAACTTTCTGGTCAGTATTATAGTTCATCAGTGGAACTGTCGTCGACTGAATATCGATACACTACTCCTATGAATAGAATGTCACAATTTAATAACTCCATTTCTACTGTGAACCCTCTACAAACAAGAAAATAATAATCACATCTCTCAATAGAATATATGCATAATAAGTGTACATTATAAATTCTTTCCCCGTTCCAAAAATCTATTTTTGATTATTTTATCTATCTATTGTATAATTTTATCTCCCTATATATTAATAATGATTATTTCTTGATTGATAAGCAGAGTGGCCTGAACCAAGACACCATAGGCGGGCTCCTGAAGGCCGGCATAGCGCAGTACCTCTCGCTGGAGATCAGCCGTGGCCACGCAAGAGATACGAGGTTCTTCAATAAATATCTTCCGTGGCTAAACAACCCGCCCACTGCCATGCAACAAGGGTGAGTTTTGTCTCAATTAAGTCTAAAATAAGATACGAGGTTCTTCAATAAATATTTTCCGTGGCTGAACAACCCGCCCACTTCCCAGAAACGAGGCAGTCTGATCTCATTTACCTCTAAAATATCTGTCATTTTTGGTTGAAGACTACACCTACCGTCATATTTATTTTAGAGTCTTGTCTAGTCATCTGAATACTTTTACGTGGCTAATTAAAATTAGAAAGAAATGACGCCATTCGACAGACTACGTACGGCAAGAAAATTTAAATTTTCAATTCCAAATATAACGGCTGTGGTGGATTTAAAATAAGCGTATTTACAAAATTGACCAGACTCGACTTTTTCCAGGCAAAAAGAGTTTCTGGACTGCGTAAGCCACATCAGGCTACTGTCATGGCTGCTGGTTGGGTCACTCCTGCATACCTGCAACCAGACGGGTACTGGTACCAGCATACCATCTGTGTGCATGCCTGTACCACCTGACGCCTCCTGCCACATCGCTGACCACATTCAGGTATTTTACATCTAGAACTTCTAATACAGACTGCATCGTATTTATCTTAATATCCGTTTATTCTTGAATACAGCGCCCTTTTCAATCATGAAGGGTTTTTAATCCAGTAAATATTTTGTTATATACTGATATATAACTGATATATCAGATATATAATTGATATAACTGATATATACTGATATATAACTGATATATATATTTTGTTGTTGGATCTTCAGATGTTAGTTTCCTTTAATTAATTGCTCAAGTGAACGAATATATATACTTCTTTTTTTTTCATTTCCTCGCAATTCAAGATCTCACTTTTTGGTAATATTGTTGTGTTTTCGGCGTTTGTTTGCTACATATATAAGGTACATAACATCATATTTTAACGACCAGATATTGGCCTCGCTTTGTGCACTAGGTTTGAAGCCGCCGCACTCCTCGACAGACGACTGCGGAGAAAAATGTTCTAGCCGAACTGTTCTCGGATGTAGTCTATCTCTATTAGGGAGCGACTTCATCATACCAATTGTTGTGCCCATGATTGCTGTGTTAACTTTCTACGTTATCTGGACTTCTTAGGTGCAATTGATTTTGAAATTTACAAGTAATTATCGCAAGTTTCTTAAGTGAAGCTCGGCCTGAACATCATCATTGGTTGTTTCAATCGTCCACGAACCGTACCCGCTGGCAGAGACCTTTAAGTGTTCAGACGTATTAGTTTCCCGCTCCAATGTAATCCAAAAAGTTTAGACTTGACCCTCATCTCGTGAACCTCGCATGCCGCGAGTGGCAACGCAGTTGAGAAGGAGAACGCGATGTTGCAGAAGATTTGGCAACCGAGAGAGGCAACTCAAGCCCTGTAACCCTAGACATGGACACACCAAGCCGACACCGGACCTATCAATTGCCGCTGATACTCTGATAACCCCCATGAACTGGACCTGTAACCCTGGACAACACACCAAGCCGACACCGGACCTATCAATTGCCGCTGATACTCTGATAACCCCCATGAACTGGACCTGTAACCCCGGACATGGACACACCAAGCCGACACCGGACCCATCAATTGCCGCTGATACTCTGATAACCCCCATGAACTGGACCTGTAACCCCGGACATGGACACACCAAGCCGACACCGGACTTATCAATTGCCGCTGACACTCTGATAAACCCCATGAACTGGACCTCCATAACCGTCCTATCATTCGACCGCCTGTCAATCCCATCGCACTGCAAGCTCACTATCATCTGATAGTCAGCCAAAGCTGATGGGACATAAATACATTGCTGAAATCGTATACATTGCTGAAACCACATACATTGCTGAAACCGTATAAATTGCAGAAACCGTATGCATTGCTGAAACCGTATACATTGCTGAAACCTTAACTTTCTTCATTTTTTCCACAAATCTGTCAACAGCCAAGCAAATTCTTGTCACTGAACAGAGCGCTGCAAAGCAGTGGCTGCCCAGAGCCGCTGCTAAATGTAGAACCAAAATATTTAAGCATCTTGATCAAACTGAGAAATTCAATATGCATACAATCACAAAAGTTCTAAATAGTATGGATGTTCGTCAGGTGATCTTGTCGGGCTTCCCCGAGCAGTCCAAGGCGTCCGTCATCAACATGTCGTCCCTCTTCCTCGCCTTCATCCTATCCCAGGTGACTAACCGTGCTGACTGAATCATATTTTTTTAGCACCACTGAAGTATTTTGCTCCATGAACTTGATACATAAAGCTAATTTGATCCAGTGGCCCTTTACGGAAATATATTTCACTGCAAACACAGTTCGTACTCGTAATAACTGCTACCAAGCTTATAATGCGTTATTGCTGCATTAATTAAATTTTCTTTCTATTGAAAAACACAAGCTCTACGTATGCCAGATAGCCCCGCTAAATATTAAATATTACCCTGGGCATGAACACCCTTGAAGACATTAACTGGAAAGAATCGTGCATAATGCAAACCCCGCGTGCGCCAGTTGAAATACAATAGCAAAGACGCCGCGTGATAGACCATGTGTGTAAGACTGTGGGGTGTCTGCTGGTGTGGACGGTGTATAGACCATGTGTTGAAGACTGTGGGGTGTCTGCAGGTGTGGACGGTGTACCTGGAGCAGAACGCAGGTACTCCAGGTACCGACGTCTACAACTCCACGTGCGCGTTGCTCACAGACTTCTGGGCTAAGGTCACGCCATCCATCCTACAGCTCGTCTCGCACTCTAAAGTTGTGAGTGCATTCATGCCACATTCATGCCACATTCATGCCACATTCATGCCACATTCATGCCACATTCACGCCACATTCATGCCACATTCATGCCACATTCACGCCACATTCATGCCACATTCACGACCTTTTTCATCCAAGTATAACCTCCATTTTGCTTCATATTGTTCGTAAATCTTATCATGCCTTATATTATTCTCATTTGATTTTGCAGACGAAAAGATGGTTCATTATTTGTTAATGATGATAACAATTAAGTGATACCTTTCATCCCGTACCTTAACTGTTTGTTCAGCCCGTCACGAGTGTCTCATTAAGATATGTTTGAATACTACATACATTCTTCCAGTAGAGTATGCACTAGTACAACTTTTTTTAATAGCCTGTTTTTGTTGAGTGTGTTTTTTTCGTTTCCCCTAATTATTAATAAATTATTACCTTTTTAACAATAAGGCTGGATTACTGTAAGAGGACTACGTGCGTAAGGCTACTCATGGTATTTAGTATTAATTTGTCGTTAAATGTTAAATGATTAGTATTGTACAGACATTTTACCGATGGGCTTATTCTGCAAACACTTATTCAGTATTTATTTAAATAAACTAATATTTGTGTTCACAACACAATTTTAAGCTGAAAGTTCGTGTTGCACTGTCAATTGAAACACGCACGTATTATTTATACCTTAATTTCATTTACGTATAATAGTCTGCAAGAGAAAAGTCACGTTAAAATTGCTGTTATATATAACCCTCGATGCCAGTAGCAACCCATTAACCCTGATTTGTCTCCACAGGAAAACGAGTCCCTGCAGGTAGCGTTAATTACCAATTGCCTTCCTCTTGAACTTTAGCATGCCTAACAGTATTTTGTACGAACAATATTACAGTACAGTAATATGTACGACTTTGCACTTATATTAGATTATTATCATATAATTTAGAATACATGTTTGTTGCTCGACCGTTCGCATTGCTTATCGTGGTCGAGGAACGTAGCATCTTGCTTTAATAATTTAATTTTAAAGTAATTAATCAGACTTCTGAAAAATTGATGGATTTTACACATATTTTTAAATTTCATTATCATGTCATTTCCTGAATCTGTCATACTTTCCTCATAAGAATAAACTTAAGAAAATATTCTTCCATATTCGTGAACAATTTCCTCCTGCCAATTACTAAAACGATTTCTTCAGCTCCCAACATCAGCAATTCATTTATAAGTCGTTGAACGGATCTATTTAGGAATATGAAGAAGTAAGCTTATTCGCCGGAAACATTTAGGAAGAGGGTTTTGGTTTTCTTAAAAGGTCGGAAATGAATAAGATTTCGCCGTCCCTCTTCCTTAATTGATTGTAGAAAATATGTATCAAGTAGGATGGAGTAACGAATATGAAGGTTCTGTGTGTTTATTGATGGGATGAAGAATGACGGCACGACCAACACCTGCGGGCGGTTGGTCATTAGAATACAAACATGACATGAACATATTGGAGTAACAATATCAAAAGAATATAAAACACAATTTAGCAATTTATTCATTTCGGCTACCTGGAATACTCAATTGCATTAAAAGAATTTAATTCCAGTGAAGAACTTAGCAGCTTACCCCTTAGTAGATGTTCACCCCACGGCGCCGTCTAGAAAATGACTTAGCTACCCGATGCGCGATTGGCAGATGGTTCTCCACTGGCATTCTTAGAAATTTCACAATATTTTCTGGTACGATTTAACATAAAATAATTTCGACATTTACTAAACTTCATCATTCAGTAATAGCACGAGTGTTATTGGTGCTCAAAATTGATTAACTACTGCATATTTTTATAATGGTTCAAAGTGAAATTGATGAAATCCGAAATACGTAATCGAGATCAAGACAATTAAGCAATATATTGTTACAGAGGTCGATAACCACGAGTTTGAAGGTTTAATAAAAGTAATTATGACATTCAAGAGTAATACTAGTGCAAATCACCACAAACGCTTCATGGCATGGAAACAATATTTTGAAATTTTTTAATTGCTAGCACTGATATAACATTTGAATCAATGCCCTTAGCAAATTGCCCTGCATGCCCTAAAGCCCTTCCTCTGATGAAGCTCTTGTAAAATTTCAAGTTATTTTGGTCCATATTGATAAAAATTGTTACAGCTTACCAGCGAAAGTGAAGAATGTGTCAGCCATAATTTAACTTTGAATCCACCAAACGCAGCGCAAAATAATTGCTAATGGCATCTTTTGCATTATTCATATTTTGAATGCAAAGATCTTATATAATTATTGCTAGTTGGTTTCATCAGAATTTTTCATGCATTTGTAATCAGTGCTCGTTTTTTCTGTATATTATTCAAACAAAAATTGTAATTTCAGTCATCTTTGTCATGACCATCGTTGGTGTAATTTTAGTTTAATTAATATTTGTCATTGTCTGTAGGAATATTAACAGTAGCCATTGTTTAAGTAGATATGTAAATAATATTTGTTCACATCGCAATTGTAGAGGTTGTGGATGATAGTACCCTATTATTTTTGTGAATACTGCAGTAAGAAAAGTTCGTCATTTTTCCTTACCTTCTTTCCAATTCATTTATAGATTTCGATATTTTTTTCAATAGAAATGGTGGGAGTTGAATGACAAAAATATTGCAAGAATTTTCTATGCTCTGATGTTCTGTACAAATGAAGTGCCATTTGCATTCATTTATCTTCATTATGAAGCAATTCTTGTTCTGTTTATGTTGATTGTTTAATTCGGTTTATAGATACATTCTAGGATTCCAACCATTATATATTAAGAGTATCTTTGGCTATGCTTCTTCATTTGTATTAATTCGAAGTTTGAATCAAAGGAATTCTCCAAACGGAGAGAAAATAAGGCTAGTAAATTTCAAAGTTGGTGTTATAAATTGGCGTCTGTCGGTTTGAATCATAACATGAACTGCAGGTGGCTGATGGATGAATAAACAATAATGAAGTGATTCTATATAAGAGCTTGTGGAGACTTGCATTTATTGAAGCTGCATCCTGTTTTCTTATTAATTGTATTATGCTTTGTGCCGACTAGCTTCTTAGCTCTCGACTTGTTTTGGTAGCGATTAGCTGTACATTTACAAGTTTTAGAAGCTGCACGTCGTTTAATCTATATGACAGTCCCATTTTTTTACTGATTAAGTTGAGGATTTCTGTCTACAAGAGGTTGAATAAAAATATTCTGAAGTAGTAGACCAAAGTTTATTTTCTTCACCTACCAGGAGACGAAGAACAAAATAGAAATTAACGGAGTATATTAAGGCTTTCTGAAGGATTCAGATATGAGTTAAATGAAAATATGTATTTCATTTATATTCAGTGTTAAATATTGTAAACTGATGCCGTCAGTTGGGTGAGATGGTGAGTCTTCACTTCTTGTCGCTGCTGGAGGCGCTGCAGGAGTGTGGCTCGACCGTCCTGACAAGGCTCCTGCCTCTCTGGACGCCTCTACTGCACTCCCCCCATCACGGCAAGGTGGGCCTCAACTGCCTGACTTGTGAACAAGATTAGGTTGACTTATAATAGAATAGAAGTGTCGGCATTGAAGAAATAGGCCCATGGCCTGTTCATAAACATCATAAACATCATAAACATCATATAATATAATAGAATAGAAGTGTCGGCATTGAAGAAATAGGCCCATGGCCTGTTGCCGATTCTTGAACTTTTCGTGACTTGATTCACAAGATGTCCAGCCTTTGGAACCCGATCTTTCCATAGCTGACGATTGATATTTTTAAATTTCATTATCATGTCATTTCTTGAACCTATCATACTTTCCTCATAAGAATAAATTTAAGAAAATATTCTTCAATATTTGTCAACGATTTCCTCCTGCCAATTACTACAACGGCTTCTTCAGCTCCCAACATCAGCAATTTATTTATAAGTCGTTGAACGGATCGATTATAAGAATATGAAGAAGTAAACTTATTCGCCGGAAACGCTTCATGGCATGGAAACAATATTTTGCCATTTTTTAATTGCTGGCACTGATATAACATTTGAATCAATGCCCTTAGCAAATTGCCCTGCATGCCCTAATGCCCTTCCTCTGATGAAGCTCTTGTCAAATTTCAAGTTATTTTGGTCCATATTGATAAAAATTGTTACAGCTCACGAGCGAAAGTGAAGAATGTGTCAGCCATAATTTAACTTTGAATCCACCAAACGCGGTGCAAAATAATTGCTAATGGCATCTTTTGCATTATTCATATTTTGTATGCAAACATCTTATATAATTATTACTAGTTAGTCTCATCAGAATTTTTCATGCATTTAAAATCAGTGCTCGTTTTTTCTGTATATCATTCACGCAAAAATTGTAATTTCAGTCATCTTTGTCATGACCATCGTTGGTGTAATTTTAGTTCGATTAATTTTGGCATTGTCTGTAGGAATATTAACAGTAGCCATTGTTGAAGTAGATATGTAAATATTATTAGTTTGCTTCATAATTGTAGAGTTTGTGGATGATAGTATATTATTTCTGTAAATTTTACAGGTGGAAAAGTTTGTCATTTTTCCTTTCCCTCTTTCGAAAATCCAATTCATTTATAGATTTCGATATTTTTTGTAATAGAAATGGTGGGAGTTGAATGACAAAAATATTGAAAGAATTTTATATGCTCTGATGTTATGTTCTGTACAAATAAAGTGTTGTTTGCATTGATTTATCTTCATTATAAAGCAATTCTAGTTCTGTTTATGTTGATTGTTTAGTTCTGTTTATAGATACATTCTAGGATCCCAAACATTATATATTAAGAGTATCTTTGGCTATGATTATACATTTGTATTAATTTAAAGTTTGAACTAAAGTAATTCTCCAAAAAGGGAGAAAACAAGGCTAGTAAATTTCAAAGGTAGCGATTAGCTGTACATTTACAGGTTTTAGAAGCTGCACGTCGCTTAATCTATATGGCAGTCCCATTTTTAGCGCCTTTTCTCATTTATGGAAAAATGCACTATTGTGCTCACCATGTCCGTCCGTCCGTCTGTCTGCCTGTCCGTCTGTCCGTCCGTCCGTCTCTCTGTCCGTCCGTCCGTGACTTCACGTTTTCGTCGACGAGAAAATTCGCTCTTTGTCATTCACTGCAGTGAGTTCTGAGTTATATATTTTTTAACTTGTCGAGTAGAGGATTTTTTCTACAAGAGGTTGGCTAAAAACACTATGAAATTGTAAACCAAAATTTATTTTCTTCACCTACCAGGAGACGAAGAACAAAATAGAAATTAACGGAGTATATTAAGGTTTTCTGGAGGGTTCAGATATGCGTGAAATGAAAATATGTATTTCATTCATATTCAGTGTTAAATATTGTGAACTGAATGCCGTCAGTTGGGTGAGATGGTGAGTCTGCACTTCTTGTCGCTGCTGGAGGCGCTGCAGGAGTGTGGCTCGACCGTCCTGACAAGGCTCCTGCCTCTCTGGACGCCTCTACTGCACTCCCCCCATAGTCTCCACGTCTGGCTCAAGAGGCTACAGTTCAAAATGGGACAAATTGAACTGCAGAGCTCCGCGGCCACTCAGTTCTACTCCATGTAGAATTTGATGCGAAGTTCCACCAAGTTCTACTCCATGTAGAATTTGATGTGAAGTTCCACCAAGTTTTACTCCATGTAGAATTTGATGTGAAACTCCACCAAGTTTTACTCCATGTAGAATTTGATGCGAAATTCCACCAAGTTTTGCTCCATGTCAAAATTGAAGAGTACCATAAAAGTTGAAGATAATAATCACACTAATAATATCTCGCGTTCACATCATGGTAAGATGGTCGAAGCGGCGTAATTTAAAAAAAATTCAGTTTGGAAGGGGCTGAGTATTTTGATGTTATGGAAATTAAAGTAAACTCATTTATTGTTACTGGTCAGCTGTGTCGTATATATTTAAAGAGATATGAGAATTTACGACGATGCGAGAGTTACGTCCATGTGAGGACCTACAGCAGTGCGGTAATCAGCTGAGATTTGAGTAGTTTACGTTGGAAATTGAGGTAAGTTGAAAACTTACAACAATGTAGTAATTTACTTGCACGCTGGGATATACGTATTTGTTGTGTTAGAGTAATTTTTAGGCGATATTGGGGAATTTAATGTGAGGCTGGGATTCTCAATCTTATGGGTAATTACGATGGCGTTGAAATTGACCTTAAACCTTAACATGAAATTATTGATTCTATTTGCTTATATTTTCTTCTGGCATCAAATATGTTGTATGTATCTTGGCTACTTGAGTGTTCGTTCGCCTACAATCACTCAAATTTTTGGGCAGCAGTATTTCACCAGTATTATGAATGATTAATTTTCATTTATTGTTTTATTCTGTTCCTGTCGGCTTATTATATTGAAAAATATATGTCATAATACAAGAAAAGTGTGAGAATATATAGGATTGCAATTATAGGTATGAGGTGAGATATTAAAATAAGATGAATGAGGAAATATATTTCTAAAAAATCTGTTATTATAATAATGATTGTTTAGTGCTGAACGTAAGTTTGTTCAAATCATATTCATAAGTTGAACGTCAATGTGTAAGTTCAATGTATCTAGCGCTGTCAGTAGTGGATATCTATTATTAAAAATTCGATGCATTATCCTCGTACATCATTTCATTTCTGTCGGGTATAATTTTCTCCAGTATTTTGATATGCCCTTACGAACATCTTAATGTCTTGTCATCGTCCTTCGTTCAGCGATCAATGGAATTTCTTTTACGGTAGTCCAAGAATTCATAGCGCGAGCCTTCATTAAATGATCAAATAGTGAGTTTTACAGCACTATTTTACAAGTTTAGTTTTTACTGAATATTGTTCTTTGAGATTATGCGTCTATGAAATTTTATACGAGATTGCAATGCTACTTATATATTGTTTTATATATTATCTCCATTTCTCAATCAAATTACTTGATGAAAAAAATTCCAAATCCTAACAAGATAAAAAATACTTAACTCAAGCTAAATTGGCTCAATACATTTCTTTAAGGAATCGGCAAGCAGCAGAGTCATTAGCAGCCCTCATCTGTCGACAAACTGTTGACAAGAGCAGCGAGCGTCTGCAGTTCTCGACAAAAATGTTAGTCGAGAACGAAACTCTACCGCGGTCGGGGCCATGGTTGAATTAATATTAATTAATATTATTATTAATTCAACCATTGTCGGGGCCTTTTAAGTGGAACCTGTGCAGTGCTGCTGAGAATTTCTTAGTGTCGCACATGACTTCTGGGAACGAACATTGAAAAACATGGATAGATATATCAATGTCATTTATGCGATTGTTGCTCAGAATCAATGTCATCAAATAATAATCACGATTGCTTTAGAGATATTATTTTGTTTTTCATCCGAAGATTTTGATTGCTCGCAATACTTAATACTTTGAATTCACTTAATAAAAATAAAACACGACACGCGTGAAAATTAGAACCGCGGTAGCTCATGGGCATTAATTACCACGAACTTCGTTTAGAAGTATACACTGAAGAAACTAATATCTCCCTAAAATATACAGAAATCTCAACGGAAAACCTAATGAGGCGCCTGTAGATTTTGATAGCTTTTTATCACCAGTTAATCACATGGAAACTAAATAAATTTCAAAGCCAAATTCCCATTGAAGAATCTAACATTTTAGAACTTTGAATTAGTCTAAAAAAAAGAAAACATTACAACAGACACTGCACGCTGGTCAAGATGAGAAGAAAAAATGCCTCATGGTTCGATTAAAATCACAACACAAGTTCAACAAAGAAAGTTCCTAAGCAGGATTTTATCAATGTTAGGCCCTGTCACACAGCACAGTACATGGAACAGATAGCAATGAATGAATGTAATTCAATGGACATTCCTTCTGAAAATGGATTACACAACCCCTATCATTTAACACGCTCGTAGTTCGCGCTATCATTTAACACGCCTCATGCACAGTTGAACACTACTCGCTGTTTGACTCTATATACTCATGTATAACTATACTAAAAATATTTAATTGAATAATGCAGGACAAGACTGACTCCTTTTACTAATTTAGCAACAAAGATAATTATCTTATTCAAATGTTGGTGCCATGCTTTATCATCCCTTGAGAACTTTTGATTACAATTAAATATTTTCTAATGACTGTTGCCTATAATTAAATGGATTTTTGTTGATCGCATCGATCTACCTAACTGGATGTTAAGTGAAGCTTTTTTTTGGGTTAATCGGGTTAATCGATCGAATCGTTGAAAAATTTTTCGGGTTAATCGAACAGATTAAGGACAAAAGTGGCCCATCTCATGACACATGATTTACTCACCTACTACGTGACTCATAGCTGAAGTTTTCGTTATTTTCCTAACGAATGTGGGGAACTGATAGAAATTTTCATCCGTGTGAACAATCACCCTTGTGTCGTCCAAGAATGAATGACTAACATCTATTTGCAAAATATCAGACACTAATTATAGTATTTGCTGATTCTCGATAATTTGAAGCGCTGTTATCTGAATATTTTGACATCAATTTGGTAAGATCTGCCTCGTATAAAAAATTAAGATGTAACAATAAGCCATTATTGGGCTCTCAACATATTTGTGATAAGTTCAAAATCGAGTTTCGACAGCGAAGTGAGCAGTTAAACATTAAACCACTGAACCTTTGATAACGTTCGTAGACTAAATAGTATTTAGGGTAACGTGGGGCAGCGCGCCCCCCACTTTTTTTAAACTAAGTTTTTGATGAAGTTTTAATTGATACGAGGTGGTTCTTTGTTTTGTTTAAAGGTGCAACTAATGAGGAATGTATGATGTGAATTAGACGCCTATAGAGTTATTCAATTTTTAATGAAACACTATTTTGTAATGCTAATTAGTTATTTATATTTCTTTATAAGCAGCAATTTAAGAGTATTTTTCTTTTCTACTTCAGAACAAAACCGAGGCGACGGGGCATAACTTACGTGCGTTTCACGTATACGCTGACGACCCGGCAGCTGCCTCAATTTCTTTATATTGGAGACACAACCAAGAAAACCTTGTCCACACCGTTCAATTAATAGCCAGAAACGAAGTTGACTTCAAATTTGATCCTTGAACCTCATTTAAATAAAAACTGAAGAAATTTCTACTGAGCTACAGTTGTTTTATAACCATTACCAATATTGTTCCACTTACACAGTATCGCTATCAGAAGTTAGGTCATCGGAGTCTCTGAAGAGTGAAGGAATGCTTGTTTCTTATAAAACCCTATTTTGAATTATCCAGTACAAGTGGAGTAATGTGTCTAAATACGAAAAGGAATAATTAAATAATGGGAAAATAAATAATAATAAATAATGGGGCTTTAAATTGGAAAAGAAATAATTTCAAATCGATCATCCAACTCGCTGCCGGAGAAATAAAGGAGATAGAATAAAAAGGGGAAGCGCAAAAAAACTGATTGTTATTCCAGCTCGTGGCAGGAAAAATCGTTTTTCTCTACGTAAAAATATTTTTTTTCATAATTGTGATATACACGAAACATTTTGCGTACCAATTGTGTTTGTTAATGTTTTATAGTGTTATTATTGATAGTGTTATATAACCACAGCAGCGTCATAGGAAAACGCGTGTTATGAGTGAAAATTAAATATAGTTCGTAAATTTGTGATAAACTAGAAAAATATTAGTGATTAATAGGGCTTGCGTAAGAAAATTACTCGATTTCTACCAAAATATCACAACTTTTGTGGATTTAAAGTGATCATGACAGTTACTTAGAGACGCATTAACAAGAATAATGGTCACGGAGAGTAATTTTTTAGACAAATAAGAGTAGTGCATTCAATTTTAAAGTTCAAACGTTTTTCTTACATTTATAAAATAAACGTATTTATTTAGTAATTCGCTGAAAATTTTGAATGAAGAATCAAACCATCTAATTTTGATCCTATATGCGAAATATCATGTTAGGTTAGGCTAATTCAGGTTAAGGTAATGTTCTATTGTAAAGGCAAATCAAGAAATACAGACAAATTGCTGCACAGAAAAAGCACCAATTCCTTTTAGCCGGTCAACATTATTCAATGCAATGTACTGAAATATAATTTTCGTAATTTGGCATGGGCATGCATTCGTTTTCTTTTCACATGTTTTCTTTACCAATCGATCCTGCCGCCCGTGTATATTTGCATTATTCCCTACTGAATTGCTTTGTTTCGATTGTGATTGAGATACAACAATCACGTAGTCAAAACAACAGAGATACAACAAACGTAGTTGTTATAGTGACTCCAACAATTCGTCTGAATTAGAAAATCAGGGTCGGCATACCGATCAAAATTTAATTTTTTCAACTGAATTGTGTCAGATTTGCAGTTAAAAAAAGTCAAAGTCAGTCCTCAATATTCTCTGAATTTCACATTGGATTTTGATTGAATCAAATTTCAATATCATTCAGGTACAATAATTGAGTACAGTAATACCGATAACTGCAAGACCATG